AGTACACCTCGTCTATACTGTCAGGATCTTTGGTAAAAACGAGGTCCAGACAACTGGCCTGTTGCCCTCCACGAGCTCTAGTTGGAAACAGGACATGTTGCGTGAGTAGAGCTTCTAGGGTTGTCTTTAGTAGATGGTAATCACAGGTATTCATCGAGCACTTCGTATGCTTCGTAGGCTTTCCCAGGCTAACTTGGGTCGTTCACTCACTAAACACAAATGTCCTGGCCTGTAGTCGATATCGACAGCCGTCTGGGATTACTCAGCAGCCCTAGTTGGGGAGAGCACTGCTCATTCCTGCGGGCAGGAAGGGGCTAGAAAAGGTGCCCTAACCAAGTGCTGGGGAACCAGGCCGTCTGCAGGCTGACCGTGGTTGCGGAGGTTAAAGCCAGGGTCAAAACAACCAAAATCGAAACAGCACTCTCCCTCTTCCTCCTTCTCTTCCCCGTCCTCCCGCCGCCCCAATCGTCAGACTGGTAGAGTGAGTACACCCACTCTGGCAACCTGTAATCTTCGTTCCCTTTTAGAGAATCCGAGGAGCAGCCGACCGGAACGGAGGACGGCTCTAGTGGCTCGGGAACAGGCGTGCTACAACGTGGACACCGCAACACTCAGCGAGACCAGATTCTCCGAATAAAAACAACTGGAGGATGTTGGTGCCGGCTACACCTTCTTTTGGAACAGTCGTCACAAGGCAGAACGACGGGACGCGGAGGTCGCCTTTGCTATCCACAACGAAATCGTGGGACACCCGCCCTGCCTGCCAGTGTCTGCACATCCTCGATGACCAGCTTCGACGCCGCAAGGGACGAATTCTACGAGTACATGCATGTCTTTCTGTCGACTGTCCGAAGGCGGATAAGTTGATTGTCCTTGGTGACTTCAACTCCCGCGTTGGCAGAGAACATGCTGCCTGGAGAGGAGTGCTGGATTTCCATAATCTCGATGGCTTTAATGCCAATGGTCTACTCCTTTTACGAACCTGCGGCGAATACCGGTCCGTCCTGACGAACACCTTGTTCTGCCTCACGTTGCGAGAGAAGGACACATGGATACACTCATTGGTCGCGACACTGGCACCTGCTGGACAGTGTCCCTGTCCGGAGACGAGACCAGCGGGACGTGTTTGTGACAAAGACGGTTCTGGGTGCCGACGGGTGAACCGACCATCTTCTCGTCATCTAGAAGATGCGGATTCGCCTACAGCCTGGCAGGAGACCTCAAGGTAAGCAACCTCCACGTAAGCTGGATATTGCCTTGCTGTCTTGGGCTGCTCACTATCCCCATTTCAGAAATGAGCGAGCTCAGCGGATAGACAACATACCAGTCCCTGATACCGCTGTCGTCACTGCCGCCGCTGACGTGACCGCCTACGTGGAGAACCGATGGTACCAACTTCGGAACACGGTGCAGTTGACGACATTGGCTGTCTTCGGTCGCGTACGTCGCGAACATCAGGACTGGTTTGATGACAACGACGTCGCCATCGGCAGCCTGCTCTTCGAGGAAAATTGACTGCACAGAGCCAACGTCAATCGTCCAGCCGACGACAGCAGAGATGCCTTCTACTGTAGGCGTCGTCTCGTGCAGCAGCTGCTGCAAGAGATTCAGGACGCTTGGACGGGTCGCAAGGCTGAGGAGATCCAAGGATACACGGACCGAAATGAGCAGGAGAACTCCTTCCCGACAGTCAAAGCCGTCTAAGGTCCACCAACAAAAGGAACCGCTCCTCTTCTCAGCGTCCACGCCAGTATTTTACTCACTGGGAGGACACAACTTCTACAGCGATGTGCCGAACACTTCAGGAACGTCCTCACAAGCCCCTCCATCATCTCCGACGCCGCCGTCGCCCGTGTGCCTTAAGTGGAGACCAACGTCGACGTCGACCTACCTCCCTCTCTCCACGAGACCATTGGGGCCGTGCAGCAGCTCTCCAGAGGGAAAGCGCCCCGATCGGACCCGACCCCCGCTGAGATCTACAAGCACGTTGGCCCCCAACTGTTGAATCACTTGGCGGCCCTATTCCAGTAGAGGTAATTTCAAGGAGAAATCTGGCAGGATTTCAGGGACGCCACAATCGGCCATCTGTATAAGCGGAAAGATAACCGCCTGTTCTGCGACAATCACAGAGGCATCTCTCTGCTGAACATCGTCGGGAGGATCTTCCCTCGAATCCTTCTCAACTGCCTGAACAGCCACTTGGAACATGGTCTTTTGCTGGCAAGTCAGTGCGGCTTTTGCCGTCATCGTGGGACCACGGACATAATCCTCGTCCTCCGTTAGCTGCAGGAGAATTGTCAGGAGATGCGGAGCCACCGGCACTCTACTTTCGTAGATCTGACGAAAGCCTTCGACAGGGTGAATCGCGAAGAACTGTGGAAAATCAAGCAGGAATTCGACTGTCCCGAACGATTCACTGAGATGGTGAGTCACCTCCACGATGGCATGATGGCGCGAGTCATGGACAATGGAGCTGTCTCAGATGCATTCTTAGTGACCAACGGAGTGGAGTAGGACTGCGTCATCGCGCCCACTCTCCTCAGTCTTATGTTATCTGCAATGTTGATTGACGACTACCGTGACGAACGCCCTGGGAGCTGCACAACTAACTTTTCTTAGCGGACAACTGCGCATTCAACGCAACCTTCAAGAGAACGTGCAAACTTGCATGGATCTCTTCGCCGTCGCCTGCGACAGCTTCCACCTGGTCATCTACACGGAGAAGTGGGTGAAGATGCAGCAACCGCCTCCCAACACTGCCCAGAATGCGCCGCAAATCACTGTGGACTGAAGTCACCTGCAAGTGGTGAACAACTTCCCTTTCTGGCAGCATCCTCTCCTGCACCACCAAGATCGACGATTAAGTTTCCCGTCGGATTTCCAAAGCCACTCAAGCCTTCGGCCGTCTGCAATGTCCAGCCTGGAATCTCCACGGTCTTGACCTCAGCACGAAGCTGAGGATGTACAGGCAGTCGTCCTGCCGACGCTCTTGTAGGGAGCGGAAACCTGGACGTTCTATAAGATGCAGGTGCGAAGAATAAATCACTTCCACATCAACTGTCTTCGACAGATATTGAAGCCGAGGTGTCAGGACGGAATTCCCGACACTGAATTTCTGGAGTGGACGGGAATACTCAGCATTTTCGCCATGCTGAGACAACTGCATCTGCGTTGGAGTGGCCGCCTCGTGCGGACGGATGACGAGCGGCCACCCAAACGACTCTTCTAAGAGGATTTCGCCACGGGTTCCTGCAGCCAAGGAGACCAAATCCGCCGATATGAGGACACTCTGAAGACCTCACAGAAGCGTCTTCAGATCAACCCTGCCAATTGGGAAGTTCTGGCTCGAGACTAACTTATCTGCGGAAGGCCAGAGAAGATAGGCGAAGCGGTCTACGAAGCCAACCGCATCATCGCCGCGGAAGCCAAACGCGAAGCAGGCAAATCTCAACTGCGCCCACCTTGCAACGTAAACGCCTAATCGCCTCCAACGTATCCACGGGGTCAACGGACATTCCAGGCGTCAAGTCGACTTCTTGGACACCTTCGGACCAACTGCAGTACTCGGACTGCACCAAACATTGTCTTTCCGCCCACCTCTTCTACGCCGTCAATTAGCACTGAGCGCCCTCCCAAACCACCAATACCAACCAACTCCTCCTCCCCCATTGCCTCAACGCCTGCGGTTGTGGCATCCGCCATGTCTAAACACATTAAACAATCATAAAATAAGAAAACAATGAAGATATCATCGAAAACGACGCTAAGGCAGAACATATTCACCGTTTTTTCGCATCTCCCTTCACCGATGAAACGGACTGTGAGGAAGCTGAATTTCCCAATGGAACAACTAACGAAATAATGGAAAACCTCGACTTCACGGAAAGAGATGTGAGGAAGGAACTTCTAGCGCTTAAGTAGGATAAGTCTCCGGGTCCAGACCAAACACCGGCAAAAGTTCTAAGGGAATTGGCACGCAAACTCGCCAGAGCGCTTTGCATGTTCTCCAGTCGTCCATTGACCGAGGCATTTCCCCTCCTGGTTGGAAACTGACGAATGTATACCCCATTCACAAGGGCAGATCTAGAACAAGTGAAAACTATTATCGACCGGTGAGTCTAGCGCACATTTGTTGCAAAGGTATGCAGAGATTAGCCAAATAAGTGATTATGAAGTTCCTTGAAGGAAAGAATTTATTTGATAATTCCTTACATTACCTTCGATGAAATCACTCCTGATTAACAAATATGCTCTATTCAGTGAAGCAGTGGTCTCGCTCATTAGACAAAGAAACAAGCGTCGATATCATTTACATCGATTTCAAGAAAGCCCTTGATAGTGTTTTGCGCCACCAGTTAGTTTACGTGGTCCGACAGTACGGGATAAGGAGAAATCTATTAAACTGGGCAAAGGGCTTTCTGAATGGCCGATCACAGTGTGAAGTCAGCGCCAGTACCAGTTGTGAGTGGAGTTCCCCAGGGTTCTATGCTCGAACCAGTACTGTATTTAATTTATTCCCACGACTGTATGAATGGATTGGACTACAGCGGAGTCATGTTTGCTGATGACATCAGGTTATTGCGAGCGATCAGCGGGGAAAATAAACGAACACTGCAAGAAGGACTGAACCGCCTATGTAAATGGTCCGACAAATGACTGCTAAATTTAACCTTGTGAAATGCGTCGCGCTACAAATCAAAACAAATGGAAATGCCTTTCAAATTTAACTGAACAAAAAGATCTTGGCGTCAACATTTTGTCGACTCTTAAGTCCTCCCCTCAATACGTTAGGGAGGCCAAAAGTTCAACCGGTGTTCGCTTTGCCATTAAACGAACTTTCGTAGATATGGACAAAGGGTTATTTGGAAAAAAAAACGGAGCGTTCATTCGTTCGAATCTGGAATATGGAAACAAAGCGTGACACCCATGGCTGAAGAAAGACTATAAGTTGCTGGAAATAGTTCAGAGGAGAGCGGCCGAAATTGTAAAAAGCCTCGAGATTTTACCTTACAACTGCAGACTTAATGGGCTTAGCCTACTTCCTCTTAAGTACAGGCAGATCCAAAAAGATCTCATACAGGCGTACCGGATTTTGAGGAACGAGGACTGTGCCCTGCATCTCGATGATTTCTTCACCTTGACCACAACAACAAACCTGCGTGGGAACTCTCTAAAACTTAGAGAATCCCAATGCCGCCTGGACGTTTGAAAGTACTCTTTTTTGCAGCGAGTCGTCGGTGCCTGAAACGGACTTCCCGAGGACATAATAGTGGCGGATTCCACGGAGACATTTGAGCCAAGACTAGGTGCATATTTTCTTGAAAATGCCGTTTAGCTGGACAGAACATGTCTATTGCGCCAAACCAACGCCTTGCATACACCTACCGCTAATGCGGATGGCTGTCATTTCATTTTACCGTTAGCACCTACAACTCAGTGCTCACGAGTTTAGGCCTGCATTTCACAGGGCAATATTATGTAAGATATATGCATTACTGACGACATTTTAGTAGCGTGCTTATTTAAAGTTATATATTACATGTATCGTTTTTAATAGGGCTTTCGAATGCATTACCTATCACCCTTTAAATATACTGACCTTTACTGACCTAACCAACGCCGCCATTGTCGACACCAGTGGTGAGCACCTGTCCTTTACCTGTCCTGACTGCGACCGCACCTTCATCTCACACATCGGCCTGGTCGGTCACTTTCGAATCCAATGCACAGAGACTGGCGGACCAGCGCCTGGAGCAGAAATTTACACTCGTCGCATTCGCCTCCACTGTCCACACTGCACCAGCACCTTCTTTCACCGCATGAGCCTATTCGGTCACATGCATATCCAAGAGAGCGGAACTGACCGCAATTTTGGTACACCCAGCACATCCTGCACACCCACCACGCTAAACCCAACCCACATTCCGTCGTCCATTGCGCCCGCTACTACCACTTCCAGCACTATCATTACCGTAGCTGATATTAGCACTACGGACTTTTTATATCCACACTGTCCCCCTACATTCACTTCACACATCGGCCTTGTCGGTCAATTGGTAGCCCATCGTACAGGGACGGACGAACCAGTGCCTGGAGCATCAATTTACACTCGCCGCATTCGCCTCCAATGTCCACCTTGAAATCGCACATTTATTCACCTCATGCATCTACTGGTCCCCCTGCGCGTCTAGGAAAACCTGCGGCAGACAACCACCGGTTGCACCACACCACCACATCTTTCCTCGCCCCCATCTCATTGCACGTCAACATCACCACCACAAGCACCAAAATGCCACCTCCCGCGCAAGCGGGAAATGTGCGCCTCGACTCCGTCTCCATGCGGTTCGTTTTCTGCATGTGTGACTCGAGTCTGAGACTATCACGGCGCGTCAAGCGGCGTGACTTGGAAGATTGCTGAATGACGTCCCAACTCAGCCAACGCAGTCCGTCGAGTTATGTGTTTCGGGCGGATCGGCGGACTGGTGGGCTGAGGGATAGGCTGTCACGGCCCCTCCTCAGGCGATATGTGACATTCACGTATGTAGGGAGAGGGTGTGTACTTTATGAGTAGTGCCTCTCAGTCGACGACTGTTTGATTACCTAACCTTGAAGGGTGACGGCCCAGGCTAAATGCAGGCCCACGTGCCGCCCTTCTGGGTCAAATGGTCTGAAGGCGTGTGTTAAGTCAGTATCAGCAAACCATGGCCCTTGACACCGGGTCCAGATGGGGAGTGAGGACGAGAGAGAGAGAGCGGCGGATGCTGCGCAAGTCTGTTATCACTAAACTTATTCACGCGCAAGTCACTATTCCTGCTCAACCTTGCTGTGCGTCACACGGTGGGCATCGTCGGAAACGATGGTGGAACTGTCGGAGACGGAGCACTTGATGACCCTATTTATGCAAAAGGCTTTCTCACATTCGCACTCAATCTAAAGTTGCAAGCATTTACAGTGTGACCGGGTCACAATACAGTCGTGAATATAAGGAAGCGGATCTGCTCACTGTAAGTCAGTGCGGAAAGATTGTGCATGACAAAGTGTTACCGAACTGGCTGTGAGTAGTCATGCAAAAGCCGGTTTCTATCGAAAATCAAGCGAGAAAGTTTTCTTTTAAACATGCGACTTGTGGCGACTTACGATCTCACTTGGTATCAAGTTCCGCGGCCAGACAACTCACTGGCCGAATAAAAACTGTCTAGGGTCTAGCCGCGGGCGTTCACTCTTGACTTTGTAAGGATGACGCGAAATTGGTTTGTACGGGAAAATTAAAAAGTTCAACGTTCTTAGTGACCAAACTTGGCCGCGGACACTTCAGAATGTCCAGTGTAGACTACAGTTTAGCGGACTATAAGAGAGAGGGAATAAGCCAAGCACGTTTAGCCTCTCCTGAAAAGAGAGGTGTTTTAGACCGTCCACCATCTTCGTTGCTCTGCTTTGCGTCTGTTCAAGTAAGTCAATATCCATCCTCATCCATGGTGAAGCTTCTGGCATTCCATACTCCAGATGGGGTCTTACAAAGAAGACAAAAGGTCTTTCGAATAGTTCGGGAGGGAATATTTTGAACGCATGTCCGGTCCAATGTAAAGTACTTGTTGCCTTCTGGACCATCTTCCTACGGTGTTCTGACGACATTAGATTTGTGGTCGCCCATACACCCATATCCCTGTGTCTTTCTATCGTTTCTAGCGCCGCACCGTTAATATAGTAATGATGTTTGGGAGATGCATTTCGGCCAGCGTTTAGATGCGAGACCACGCATATGCACACGTTAAAATTCAAAAGCCTATGTTCTACCAAACACTCCGTTTGTCAATGTTGGATTCCAAATTCTTTACGTCATCATCGCATCTGATTTCAGTCCATAATTTTATGTCGTCTGCGAAAATAAGGGCCTCGCAATCCAGTTCGCTGATACAGTCATTAACATGAATCAGGAAGAGTAGTGAACCTAAAACAGAACCCTGTGGGACACCAATTTCGCCTTTGCCCATTCCGAGGTAGAGTTTCCAACGACGACTCTTTGTACTCTGGAGGACAGAAAACCCCTGATCCATTTAAATATCCTTCTTTAAATTCCTACATCCCAGATCTTCTGTAAAAGAAGCCTGTATGAGACACTATCAAAGGCCTTCTTGAAGTCAAAAAATATGACATCTACTGGATAGCCCTTATTGGTAGCTCTTATCCATTTCTTATGCAGGTAAACAACACTCGTTAGGCAGGAGCGTCCTGGACGAAAGCCATATTGGAAATCATACAATATTTTGTTTTTTTTCCGGATATGGCATCCACTGACTTTTGATAATGCTTTCCATTATTTTACACGCAATACAAGTAAGACTGACGGGACGATAATTTTCGCAGTCAAATTGTGAACCTCATTTATGGATCGAAGTGACGAGTGCGCACTTGCATTCTGCCGGGAGTTCGGCTTCCTCAAATGACATTTGTATTACGTAGAAATAAGAATCACCCAGTACATCGACCGCAAGTTCTGAAAAGGCCATCCAGGTAGAGCCTGACGTAATCGGTGTGGCCTTTCCTAACTTCAGAAGTCTTTTGAACTCATGTAATGCCCGCTCGGATAGTGCCGCAAACGATAAGGTATAAGGCATCGTAGATGGCAGTCAGTCGGATCTTCAGGAACTCTGTGGCGAATAATCTTAAAATCAATGGGGCGGTTCCTGATTGTTGTTTTCCGAACAGCACGGTTTTTGATGTCGAATTTAGTTCGATAGGAACTGGAAATGCTCATCGTCCCCAGAAGTTCCCCAACGAGGCGCCACTAAAGTATGGAAGTAAGGACTCCTGTATTGCGAGATTTTATGCGTGGAGCTTTAAAAAGCTACAGAAGACTTATTTTAGGGAGGAAGCACGTGAAAAATCGCACTGACACCATTGGCTTGTCAAAATACTCCGAAGAGGGATCGAAAGAGAACGTGCAATATGAAAAATTCGAAATTAAAGACTTAGAAATGAGCGACTAGTACGGCAGGTTTGGGTGTTTGTCAGAAAATGAAGGTGAACTGACCCCAGTCCATAGTAATCGATCGCAGCTAAGGGGAATTTGTTAAGGTTATAGCAAAAATGATACCCGATGTGATGCAGCGATGGAACACGCAGATGAAGTTGAGAACGCTAAAAGACATAGGCAGTCCGATATTGCTTTAAAGCGTTTGAGCGCTAGCTGATGGGAAAAAAAGAAAGAAAGGAGATGATTTATTATGGAACACAGAAATAATGCTCTTATAATCCAGATTTTTTTAAATCAGATCCCTGAATAATGAAGACCAATCAGCCGTAGGCTAAAAGAATCGCAGGTCAAGTCGTCCTGCCTGTTGGAGGAAGTTTCGCAGACAACCATCCTCCCAAGGTAATCGAATGCTGCCAAAGAAGGACCGAACTCACGGAACCTATGGAATTTCAACCCCAGGCAGACGGCCGTCACGTGCCGAAATCTACCTAGACACACAGTAGCACCAGAAAGCTGGACACCAGGGCTACCGCTACTTCACGCGAAGGGTGTAGTATATGAATTACGAAATGGCGGACACCTAACCGTGCCAGTGTATATAGAAAATGTCATTCCTGGGCGTACTTAGACAGAAACAGGTTAGAGAAACCGAGTGCCACTATATAGTCGCCCAAAATGGCGGAAGGCTGCACACCGAAATAGGAGTCACTAACTTACCCCGTAGGACCGCAACCGGATAGACGGTCGTAGGCAAGCTGCATAAAGGAAAATCAAGTTATTTTGACGGCGCGCCCACGCTGTAGCAGATACCATAAGAAATAGTGCATGACTCAGTTGAAGTAATGCAAGCTTATTGGCAATTTAGCCATCATATATGAAGGGGGTTATATGTATGGAACCCCCAGGAGTAATATAGAAGGTAAGCTATGGAGTACGCGGATGCTCTGCAGGTCTAGGCCTGTGAACAAACCCAAAGCGGTTTAGCCACTTTTCAGTACATCACAGACCAAAGACGTCAAAAAATCTCCATTATTGGGATTTGGTAGGAGGGTATATGGTTAACAAAACATTATTCTAATCCCAACCTTAATCCACACCCTGACCTTACTAAAAAACCTAAGCATAAGCAAAATCTTAACGCTACATCTAAGCCTGACCTTAATCCTAGCCCTATCTCCACGCCCTAAACACTAGATCTAAGCCAACCCCGAACTGTACACCCTAAACCTAAACCCTAAACACGAATTCTAACTTCCAACACTAGCAATCTTTACCCAAATCCAACCGCAAATATTTAGGAGCCCAAGTCCTAATCCTAAACATTAAAGTCCGTGTTATTTTATATTTTGGTGTTAGCGTTAGGAATAGGAGTAGGGTTAGAAGTACAGTAATGGTTAGGTGTACACAAACAGCAACCAAGTGTAGGCTGTGACCCGCTAGTGCATGATAGGATGCATGGACACACAGGTCAACACCGTATGAGCTGGAGCGGGGACCGCTGCACCTTTCTTGTTGTGGATGTTGTTTAACAGCAAAGGAAAGTGTTCGCTGTGATCGGAAAATGTTGTCGTACGCTCAGATGCAGGTTGTTGCAGCGCAAGCCATGTGCGTACTCCCTCATCTTCGGTCGTCTTGACTCTGTCCTGACACCTAGCCCAGATGGAAAAGGAGGAGGGGGCAGTAGATGCTGCGCAAGTCCAATGTCACTATAAACAAATTCACGCGTAGGTCAACGAGCATGCTTCCATCCTGCTATGAGGCACGCGGTAGACGAAGTTGAAATCGACGGTCGAACTGTCATGCGTGTATGTATGTTTTGCCCTCCACGAAACAATTGCTTTGATTTCGTAACGACATCATGGGATGAATGCTCTGTCTTAGGGCATAAACGAACGACTGATGACCCTCTGCCCATCTCTTTGGAGGTCCATTTTTGCCCCCATTATCAGCGCCTTCGTCCTCCAATGTCCATCTCTTAAGGTGCGGATGACAAATTCTACAAGGACCTGCGCACACTCCTGGTGTCTTTGCTGCAGGCAGGCAACCTAACTGACCTTGACGACTTCGGTGCCCGCGTCGGAACAGGCCGCACTGCCTGGGGAAGAGTACTGTTCCCACATGGTCTTGGCGACTGAGGTGAAAACGGACTCCATTTACTACGAACCTGCGCTGAACGTCGCCACCTGAGGTACAAGGCATTCTTCGCATTCTTAGGCCAGAGAAGACCACCTGGATGTACCCTCGATCGCGGCACTTTCATCTGCTGGATTAAGTTCTCGTCCGGCTACAAGATTGACGGAAAGTAATAGGGGCCGAGACTAACTGTGACGGAGAAGGCCCGACGGATTACCGCCCTACCATGACAAATGAGGCTCCATCTGCGTCCCCCCGGGAGGCCACAAGATAATTTAAATACAGCTGAGTTGAAGTTGCCTGCTCACCGTTTACATTTCAGAAATCGCCTAGCTCACCAGATGGAAGACCTGACCGCCCGAACATCAACGCTTCCGTATAGATTCCAAGGTACGAACTGTGGGACTTTATCTATTTGGCTACCATGGGTGTCCTCATCCGAGGACGTCGTCAACTCCAGGCCAGGTTCGGCAAAAGCGACGCGGTCATCAGCAACCTGCTCGCTGAAGAAAACAGACTGTATAGAGCCTACCTTGACGATTTAACCGAAGCAAAAAAATTTGCCATCTACCACTGTCAGAGATGCAGGAGTATGCGGACAACGATGAAACGAAGAAATTCCCCAATGCTATCAAGGCGATCTACGGTCACCCAACGAAAGGAACCGCGCTGATTCCCAACACCGACGGAACAAATTGCCTAATCGAAAGTCGCAGCTTCTGAAGCGCTGGGCCGACAACTTCAGAGGCGTCCTCAACAACTCCCCAAATCTCCGATGCCGCCATCGGCTAGTTCTTCCAAGTGGAAATCAACATCGATCTTGATCTCCCACCCTTCTTTTCAGAAGCCATTCGCGTCGTGCAAAAAACATCCAGGGGGAAGACGTCAGGCTCCAATGCGATCCCAGTTGAAATCTGCAAACACGGCGGTCACCAACTGTTGGTTTATTTCACGGCGCACGTCCAGGAGAAATGGAGTCAATGACAAATTCCTCAGGATTTAAAAGGTGCAAGGAGAATCAGCAACTCTATGATAGTCACAGAGATATCTCGCCTTTTCCGCAATCGTTTCAACGGCCACCTCGAAAAAGGACTATTGTCGAAGAGTTAATATAGCTTCCGTTGACGTCTCGGGACCACCGACACGATGTTTGCCGCCCGCAAGCTACAAGGGGAGTCCCAAGAGATGCGAACCTCCAGGCCGCCTTTGTGGATTTGACCAAAACCACGGCGAATCATGATAGAATACAAAAACTCATGCAGAAATTCGGCTGTCCTGGGTGATTCACGCATACCGTACGTCAGCCCCACGACGGTATGATGACGCACGTCAGGGACAGCGGCGCAATCACCGAGGCCTTCGCAGTGAGCAATAGAGTGAAGCAGGGCTGTCTACTCGCCCCCGCCTTCTTCAGCTTCATGTTCTCTGCCGAGTTGACGGATGCCTACTGTGATAAGCTCTGGGATATGCCTCACCCGAGGAGCTAACGGGCATCTTCTCAACACTTATCGCAGGCCCGAGCGCGACTATCTACGACTACGGTCTACAGCAGCGCTAGGGTTAGCAAGCCAAAAGAAAGAGCAAAACTTCAAAACGGTTAAAGAACAAAGTTTGTGGAAAACCTTAGTGTGAGGACGCGGATGCACATAATGATGGAATAATAACGACGCTACCTCTTGCTTCTATGGAAGACAATCGAAGCAACCCATCGACTTCTCTCAGCCATTCCGTGTGTTCAACAGGGCTCTCAGTTAAAAGTGAATGGGAAAAGTCGTGGCGAGGTGGAAAGGGTAGGTACCACAACAAGAGTATGAACCCTAAAACGACTCTGATGGACCTCTCGGGACCTTCAGTGGAAAATGCGGTCGGAACCAAAACAAAGGAACCTCTTGATCGCCAGAACTGCGTAGTCATCCATAGCACATCGGAGTCGAATGCTCCTACCCCAAAGGAGAGGATTTCTGCTGACCTTGCTATGTTTCAACACCTGTTTAGCAATAGGCTTAATTCAAATAGAAAGGTAACCATTCGCTCAGCCTTCAGGATCGGTAAATAGAGGAGCGAAAAATCAGAAACTGTGTGACCGCGACCTCTTAAAGTTGTTTTAGACAGTAAAGAAGAGACTAGTTTATTTCTGTCCACAAAAAGCAGTCTCCAAAACTCTTGCAAGGGGGTATTTCAATCGGACTACACTCTAGCGGAACGTCTGAAATGTCGCGAGTTAGAGGCGCAACTAAAGAGGAGACTTGCAGCTGGAAGGAGGAACTTGGCTATATTTTAGGAGACGAGTGGTACAGAGGAGCACGATATCGCTCTGGAACTTGTCAGTGGTCATAGTGGCGGCGGCAGCGTAGTATCGGCAAACATGAATCAAACCGAGCTAAGCAATATCGAATGTTGCAAACTTAAATTCTTTTACACCAACGCTGAGAGTCTGTTTTCCAAGCTCAACGAACTGAGAATACAAGTGGCCAAAAAGTCTCCGGACGTTACAACAATAAAAGAAAAGTACCTGTGACAGAACACAGGTGATTGCGAGGTTGCACTATCGGGATACCAATTTTTTAGGAGAGACAGGAGGGATCGTGAGGACGTAGGAGTTGCCATGTATGCAAAAAGCGCTTTAACGGCATTCGATTAGACCGACAAGATTGCCGACGGCTCAGAGGCCATTTGGCTGACAATAAAGGTACTGGAGTCGCAGTCCCTGAAACTCGTAACTATCTACTAACCAGCACAGACGGACCCCAACGCAGATATTTGTCCGCTGCAAAGCATAAAAGAGATTGGCAGTCGAACGGACATTGAACTCACTGGGGATTTTAATGCATCCTGCATTCAGTGGAGCGATATGCATGTGAAGTACCTGAAGTATACCTTCGACTACCGTCTCCTAAAGACAACCGTAGAAGCTCTTCTCACAGAGCATGTTCCATTTTAAACTAGAGGGCGTGGAAGTCAACAGGCAAGTAGCTTGTTATCATTCCGCGTATTGCTGAGAGCATTGGTGGTCCGATTATTCAAAATATTGTATTTCGAGAAGGAGCGATTTTAGAGGAATTAAAAAGCTCGGAGGAATATAAATCTCCCGACCCGGACGAGGTCCCCGCAAAACTGCTTTCTGAACTTTCCCGTGAGTTGGCCAAACCGCTATCCTTTCTGTGCCAAGCATCGTCTACTGTTGGAATCCTCCCCACATACTGGAAAACGGTCCACACTACGCCACTTTACAAAAGCGGTTGTCGTGTACTTGCGACGAACTACAGACCCGTCGGCCTGAAATCAATCTCCCGTAAAGCCATGGGGTAGATCATAAAAAGAAAGTTGAAGGCTTATTTGGAAACGCCCAACCTTTTGTCCAATGCACAATACGGCTTCCGTAGGGAGAGATCGTGTGTAACAAACTTGCTACACACAATGCAAAGCTGTACAAGTGCACTGGATGCAAAACACACGGTGCATATAGCCTACATCGATTTCCGGAAGGCGTTAGACAATGTTTCGCACCATTGTTTCGTTTACACGTTGAGGGTGATGGACATGGGCGGCAAAATTCTTAATTAGATCGATAGTTTCCTCGTCGGTCGTTCCCAAATTCTTTGCGTGGAACAACACCAATCAAGGCGCACAGACATAGAGAGTGAAGTCCCACAAGGATCAGCGCTCGGACCCACTCCCCTTCTCTTGTTTATTAATTATTGTGTAGAGGAGTTGGATTTTGATTGCGCCATCTTCGCAGGTGATAATACAATCTGGAAAGTCATCCACGGTACTGCTGACGAGATCAACCTTAAAGAAAATCTTTGTCGATTGGACGAGTGGTCCCTCAGATGGCTCCTGTCCTTCAGTTTGAACAAATACACAATACCGCGTTTTGGCAACCGAAATCAGATTCATAATACGCGACAATATCATATGAACGGGCTGCCGCTCCGAGAAACAGGAAATTAGAAAAATCTCGAAATCTGGATTGCAGACACTAAAGCGTTCTACGCAATGTCGTAAGGCAGCTAAAGTCGCAACTTCAATTCTGTACGCCACCAGACGAGCATTCACAGTCTTGGACGGAGAGTGCTTCTCCAAAGTCTTTGGCACACTTGCAAGGCCGCAGTTTGAATATGCAATCCAGGCCTGGAGGCCATGGACGCAGCAGGATTGTAATTTACTCGACAAGGTGCAGAGGTGTGCCACAAAAGTAGAAAGATGTCAAAGTGAACTGCCTTACGAGACCCTCCTGACTAACCTTGCTGTCTATCCTCTGAGTTATAGGCATTTGCGCAGAGACTTGATACAAACTTTCCGTATTGCACGTGGCTTGGAATGCGCCCTCCGGTGTGACAACTTTTCCCAAATCGCCACTACAAATAACCTCCGGGAACATCCCTTCCAACTACGTGTCCCTAAAGGAAGATTGGATGTGAGAAAGTATTTTTTCTCCAGCCGTGTAGTGGAACCGAGGAATAACCTGCCTGAAGTGATTGTAATATTTAAGTCGTTGGAGAAATTTAAGTTTCGGCAAGACAGATATATGTTACACTATAAAAATCAGTGCCCTATGTTAAATAATGTCTGCATTCATTTGTTTCTGGAATTTCTTTATGTTGTTGCTATTTTTTAGATTTTTATGTACAAATAGGGAGTTCAAAGGCGTGAGCCTATTTCTCTCAAATTCACTGAACAGTGAACCTGCTGCTAATGCCAGTTTACAAGCATTGTCAAAGGAAGATAAAACACTGATCGGGCTAGCAATGAAAAAACTGCTGAAAAAGTAAATATAGGCGATGGCATTTTTAGACAGTTTGGATGGTTCAGGAGAAAAAACTGCTGCCCGTGAAATGACGTCAGTCCAGAAAGGAATTGTTAACACTACATCGGAAGTTCTCAGCCACCATTTCTTTTCATGAAGTTGTGACTACACCACAGTTGATCGCTGTCGGCTGAAGACATTGGTCGTAGTGTTGCGGGCTGTAAAGTCAGCAACATTTCTCACAGAATGTGACCGGTCAGGGGGATCAGAGACCCCGAATGCCATCACTACGGAAGACTAATTGGGTGAATTCAGTGCCCAAAAATTGTGAGGGTTTTTGTGAATGCAAGAAACGAGCAACAGTTCTTTTAGACAAAAATAATTCTGCAGAATTTTCACATTCCTGAGTAACTTGTTCCAGATTACAGTCGTGTCCATAGAAGAGTGCTGAGAATAATAAACGGTGCGTGCCAGAGGAAGAACTAAAAAGACCTCCCGGTGACTGTTACGTTAGGGATGGTGAAGATATTTTAAATTACCAAGCGGACTAAAAGCACGACTGTTTAAAAGCTTAAACATTGAGAACAGTCCCTTTTATAATCGATGGAATCACAAGGGATCAGGCCTACTAAGACCGCAAAGTTCTTGTTAGTCATATTTCGAAGTATCGTGGTTAAAAGTCTCTTGGTAAAGAATGTTGGATGAATTCTATTTTCTTCCGATCAGTAGCATGCAAGGGGCTAGATATAAACGAACAGCATTCCGCTCCAGATGAAACGCATAACGTATAATGGGGCATTTTACTACCGCTAATTTTAAAATTTCACAGAATAAACCTGGTTGTTCTGCGGCCTTTGAAGACTATCAGGGTACATCGATCGGAAAGATTAAGACTCTTGAAGTATGATATTCTTAGATCCTTTATAACTTAAGTCACGTTTGTGTGCTGACAGTCAGTACTTAGTTGAGGCAGGTGGTCGGCGCCAACCACCATAAGTCAGCTGACAACTGCTCACTCAACATCACGATCGAAGAGGACATGCAAAGGAGCACGAACCTATTCGCCGCCGTATACGCCAACTTTGGCCTGACAATCAATACGGAAAAATTGGTGGTCATGAACCACTTGTAATCAGACACGAAATACAACACTCCTCTAATCAGTGTCAACGACCGCCAACTTACTACTGCGGGCGACTTCGCCAATCTGGGCAGCACACTGCTATGTAACGCGAACACTGAAGACCGGGATGCCCATCGGATCTCCAAAGCCAGCCAGGTCTTTGGCCGGCTGCAAGTCTCCGTGTGGAATCGTCACGGCCTTCAACTTAACACCAAATCGAATATGTACAAGGCTGTCGTCTTGACGACAGTTCTGTACGGAACGAAGACCAGGACCGTCTAATTCAGGCAGGCCGGGAAGCTCAACCACTTTAATCCCAACTGTCTCCGCAGAATGAAAGTTAGCACGTTGTTGCCGACGATGTTCACCGTGTGCTCCACAGCAAGGCGAGAGCAGGCACGGTGACTTGTTCGTTAATAAGTTTACAATGGGAGTAGACTCGCGCATCATCCACCGTACTTTCCACTCTTCCACACCCGACGTCAAGACATAGTCAAAATTACAGGGGGTAGGAGAAGACGCAGGTGGCTGACACAGCCGGATCCGCATTCAGGCGTATCACCACACCCCTGATCTACAATAAACACTTGATCAGGATTTTAACCAACAACAAAAATCTTCCTTCTTTCCAATCTGCGATTTAGTAAGGCGTTGACTATGGACAACTTTCCCCCGGAAGTGCAACATATTTTAGCACCTACTTCTGACATTCGTTCGGCCGCACAACCTATTCAGATGGCCAAAAGGCTTACGGAAACCCACTGTGTTTCTAATCCATCACTTTTCGCGCTCCTAAATTCCATGATTTCGCCTGTCTTTCCTTTCGTACCTGAATTCCGCATTTGCGAAGCTTGCTAAGGCTATTGCCTTCCTTCAAGAACAGGCAGTCTCCTCATCATCCCCGAGCCCGCCAAGAACATCCCCCTGACATGTGAGGTCTACACATTCAGGTCGTCCCAACACAGTCACGACCTGCTGGAATCACACCACCTTTGCTGCTAAAGCCCGTCGCAGCCCCTCTCCCTGCTCTTTCATCTCCAGGCAGAACAAGCGGGCAAAACGGTTCAGCCTGAAAGTCAGAGCGACAAATTTTCCTGGAAGCTCAAACCCTGGTCGCACCGTTTATATCCGTGACACCCGGAGTGGTAAGCGTTTCTTGGTCGACACTTGTGCGCAGCAGATCGTCGAGACTGTCAACACATCGCCCATTACTACCATCGGAATCTACTCACTCTCCCCTGACATCGGCTTTCGGCGTCTTTTCCCTAGGGTCTTCGTCATTGCTGACATGCCCTGTGCCATTTTCGTGCAGACTTCCTCTCCACCTTCAATCTTATTGTCGACTGCCGTCAATTTCGTCTATACCACAAGACCATCAACCTCACCGTCCGGAATATCTCTTCTCCTGACGCTTCACGTCAACTCGCCGTCGTAGACTCACAACCCGAGAATCCATGTCGGCAGCTCCCTGTCAAATACCCTGGTCTCAGCCGTCCTAACTTCAGCGTTTCTACTCCATCACACAGCGTTGTTCACCATATCCAGACGACTGGCCCTCCCGTGTCATCTCGACCTCGCCGTCTCGAGGCTGCACGTGTTGCCGTCGCCAAGGCCGAGTTCGAACACATGCTTCAGGTAGGCATCATCCGTCAATCTGGAAGTCCATGGTCCTCCTCTTTCAGGTTGGGTTCAAAGGCCAACAATGGTGACTGGCGCCCCTGCGGTGAATACAGGGCTTTGAACAACGAACCTTCCCGGATCGTTGGTCTGTTTCAAATCTTTACGATTTTGTCGGCGCCCTATGCGACAGATCTGTGTTCTGGAAGATCGATCTGGCCCGTGTCTTCCACCAGATTCCCATTGTTCAAAGGGCGTTTCTAAGACGGCTATCACCACTCCGTTTGGACTTTTCGATCTCCTGCGTATGCCGTTTGGACTCCACAACGTCTCCCAGAACTTACAAATGTTCGTAGACAAAGTACTCCGTGGACTGTCGTTTGTCTAAGCCCCTATTGACGATCTATTGGTAGCCAGTTCCATTGCCGAAAAACATATAGAACATCTTACAACGGTGTTTGACCACCTTTAACAATCTTGCGTTGTTCTAAACCCGTCCGAATGCATATTCGGTGTGGCCTCCCTCGAAATTCTCGGACATCCTGTTGACTCCAAAGTCACCCATTCTCTTCCATCGAAGGTTGCGGCCATACGTGGTTCCCCGTCCCATTTTCCAAACGTCCGCTATAGAGACTTCTGGGCATGGTAAATTTCTACTGCCAGTTCCTCTCTCACTGTGCAACACCATTCTGTCGCTCACGAGCCTCCTCTCGGGTCCCAAAGGTTCGTTAGAGCTTTCCACGGACGCCCTTGCAGCGTTTGACGAAGTGAAGGCTGCCCTAGCCGAGGACACCCTCATTGCGTGCTTTAATCCCGATGCTCCCATCTCCCTCATGGTCGACCTCTCCAATGTTGCGGTCGGCGCGGTTCTCCAACAACACCTTGCAGGTCTAGCTTTCTTCTCCAGGAAAATGCTACCCTCCGAGGCGTGCTTTGACGCATTTGGACGGGAGTTTTTTGCTGTGTTCCTCGCCACGAAACTCTTTCAGCTGTTCCTTGAGATCAGGGAATTCACCGCTTTCTCGGACCATAAGCCCCTCTCTTTCGCTCTCAAGCGCACTTCTGGCAAGCTCAACCCGCGTGAAATAATCCGACTGAACTAGTCTCGCAGTTCACCACAGACATCGGTCACGTCGACTGGTTGCGCAATGAGGTGGCTGACGCATTTTCCAGGCCCTCCATCGCACATCTTCAAAATTCTCCCGGGATCGACCTAGCTGAGTGGCTGTCGAACAACACCGTGTTGGTTCTCCCTGTGACGATAACGTTTCCGGACTTCAACTCCGGAGCCTGTTACTGAATAACGGAAACAGAACCATTCTCTGTGACGTCTCCAACTCCTCCTTCTGTCCCTTTGTGCGACCATTACTCTACCACAAGGTCCTCTCCTCCTTCAGTCAGTCAGTCAGTGTATTTGAGGGAAATAGGCTTACGCCTTTGAACTCCCTATTTGTACATAAAAAATCGATAAACAAGCAAAAATGTGAAGAAATTACAGCATTAAGTGAATGCTTACATCGATTCACATATGTCACTAGTCACATGGCTAAAAAGTCACATAGTCCGCTTGTTGCTGTAGCATATATCTGTCAAGGCGACATTTAAATGTCTCCACAGATTGAGACATAACAGCCGTCTCGGGCAGGTTATTCCACGGTTCCACGACACGGTTGGAGAAGAAATATTTTCTCACATTCAGTCTACCCTGTGGCACACGTAGCTTGAAGGGATGTTCCCGGAGATGAGTTGTAGTGGCGAGTTGGAAAAAGTCATCGCACCGAAGGGCACAATCCAAGCCGCGCACGATACGGAAAGTTTGTATCATGTCTCCGCGCAACTGCCTATAACTCAGAGGATAGAGATTAAGGTTAGTTAAGCGGATCTCATGTGGCAGTGCACTTTGACCTCTTACTAATTTTGTGGCTCGCCTCTGCACCCTTTCGAGCAGATCGTAATCCTGATGCGTCCACGGTCTCCAGGCCTGAATTGCATATTCAAGATGGGGCCTTATAAACGTGCCGAAGACTTTGGTGAAGCAGCCTTCATCGAAAACTACGAATGCCCGCTTAATGGCATATAGCATTGAGGTTGCGGCCTTGGCCGCCTTACAGCATTGTGTAGAAGGCTTTAGGCTGTCTGCAACCCAAACTCCGAGATCTTTCTGAGTTTCTGCTTCTCGGAGTGGCATTCCGTTCAGATGATATTGCCGCGTACTAGGGCTCTGATTTCCGAGGCGCAGAATGGTGCATTTGTTCAAATTGAAGGACAAGAGCCATCTGCGGGACCACTCGTCCAACCGACAAAGATTTTCTTGGAAGTTGGTCTCATCGGCAGCATTCTGGATGACTTTCCAGATTTTTATGTCATCCGCAAACATGGCACAATCACAGTCCAACCCATCTACGCAATCATTGATGAACAAGAGAAAGAGAGTTGGTCCGAGCACCGAGCCTTGTGGGACCCCACTCTCTATGAATGTGCACCTTGATTGCTGTTGTTCTACGCAGACAATTTGGGAGCGGCCGACAAGGAAATTTTCGATCCATTTGAGAAGTTTGCCACCGATGCCCATAATTCTCAACTTGTGTAGGAGACGCTGGTGCGGAACACTGTCAAACGCCTTCCGGAAATCAATATAGGCAACATGCACGGTGTGTTTTGCGTCCAGTGCTCGTGTCCAACTTTGCATTGTGTATAGCAAGTTCGTAACACATGATCTTCCCCTACGGAAACCATATTGTGTATTGGACAAGAGGTTGTGGGTTTCCAAGTAAGACATCAACTCCTTTTTGATGGTTTTCTCCATCACCTTGCAGCAGATTGATGTCAGACTGACGGGTCTGTAGTTTGTCGCCTGAGCACGACTACCGCTTTTGTAAAGGGGTGTAATGTGGGCCGTCTTCCAGTCTGTGGGAAGAATTCCAGCATCAAACGATTTTTGGCACAGAAAGGATAGTGGCTTGGCCAGCTGTTGGGCAAGCTCAAAGAGCAGCTTTGCTGGAATCTCGTCCGGACCGGGAGATTTAAATTCCTTCAAGCTTTTCAGTTCTTCCAAATTTCGCTTCTTCTCGAAACACAATATTTTCGATAGTGGGATCTCTCATGTTCTCTGAATTAGATGGGGTAAAGTCCGCTTCTCTTGTGAAAACGGATCGGAAAAATTGAGAAAAGTGCTCAGCCTTATTTGTACTGTCCGATATCTCCAAGCCGTCATCACCCCTCATAACAGGAATGGGATTCCTGTTACGTGTGCTTTTCCGCAAATAGCTGTGGAGCAATTTCGGATTTTTAACGGCTCGGTGGAGCAAATTACTCTCAAAATCCCGTCGCCTCCTAAAAATCAGGCTTTTCACCTTATTTCTTTGAATTTTGTATTCTGTAAACGCTGCATTATTGTTGTTCTCGCGAAATTTATTCCATAACCTACCTTTCTTGTTGATCTCCCTTTTGAGTTCTCGTGTAAGCCACTGAGGGCGGTTGGATGTCCTAGGCTTTGATAAGGGACAGTGGTTCTTCATTAGATGCAGTAAACGATCCTTGAATAAATTCCAGTCCTCGTTAACGTTTCCGGAGAAGAGAACATCCCAGTCTATTTGTGATGCCTCAGTTCTCATTTGGCGAAAGTCCCCTTCCCATATATTTGGCCTCGTATTGTCTTTTGTACACGGTTCAGAATACAGCAAGTACTCCCATAAAAGTACTGCATGATCACTTCGACCCAGCGGGGGTAGGTAGTACACCTCGTCTATACTGTCAGGATCTTTGGTAAAAACGAGGTCCAGACAACTGGCCTGTTGCCCTCCACGAGCTCTAGTTGGAAACAGGACATGTTGCGTGAGTAGAGCTTCTAGAGTTGTCTTTAGTAGATGGTAATCGAAGGTATTCATCGAGCATTTCGCATGCATATCGCTCCATTGAATGCATGGTGCATTAAAATCCCCCATGATAACAACGTCTGGTCGGCTGGCGATCTCTTTTATGCTTTTCAGTAGACAAGTATCTGGGTCGGGATCCGCCTGCGGGGGCCGGTAGATAGTTAAGACTTCGAGGGACTGAGATCCCCGCGCCTTTATAGTCAGCCAAATTGCCTCTGTGTCGTTAGAAATCTTGTCGGTCCTCTCACACACTGCTAAGTTGCTCTTGACATACATGGCAACTCCTCCACCCCGGCGGCCTCTCCTGTCTCTCCTAAACAAATGGTATCCTGTTAATGCTACCTCGCAATCACCAACGTCCTCTGACAGCCACGTTTCTGTTATTGCTATAACATCGGGAAGAGTATCGGCTACCTGTATTGTCAGTTCGTCAAGCTTGGAAAACAGACTCTGAGCATTGGTGTAAAGGAATTTTAGTTTGTAACATTTGACAGTGCTTCGTTCGGTTTGTCTCAGGTTTGCCAATATTATGTTGCTGCCGCCATCATGATGACTGGCTCGTTCCAAAACAACATCGCGTTCCTCTGTATTACTCGTCCCCTGAAAATGACCAAGTTGCTCTCCTTGCACAAACGTTCTCATCCTGGAAGTCGAGCTACCGACAGACTGGTTTCCGACGGGCTCTTTTGGCTTGGGATTAACAAGGACCTGAAAGCATGGATAGACGTGTCTCGACTGTCAGAAGAGTAAGGTCTAACGGCACAATGAAGCTTCCGCCGACACCTTCCCCACTCCGGATGTTAAGTTCACTTATGTCCACGTGGACATCGTAAGCCACCTGCTTCTGTCCAATGGCCGTTCCTATCTCCTCACTTGCGTGGATCGATTTATTCAGTAAACGGAAGCGATCCCTCTGCTCGATGTCGCCGCTCCAACAATCTTCAAGGCTTTTCTCAGTCGTGGGATTGCTATTTTCGGTGCCCCCTTCACAATTATGGCGATACCCAGTTTAAATCTAATCTCTTCCAGCTTCAGGGTGGGCCTGGGTTTAAAGCTAGGACTGAGGTTAAGATTGAGGTTTAGGATCAGAATTAGGATAAACACCACGGTTAGTGAAAGGGTTAGGATTGATGTAAGGGTTGGGGTCAAGTTTGCCTGCCGCATACCGCTTTACCCAATCTGGCCTCCCTCGATCAATGACCTTGAACTGCCTCTCTCCCGCCTTATTACACGCCGCTAATTTTCGTCTTTAAAATTACGCGATCTGTCCCAAAACCTCGTTAGGGTAACAAAAGAAACATGGTGCTGAAGTGCGAGTTTTCACAATGACTCTCATAGATTACGACAAGTGCCGCGCCCATCTGTACTACTGATAAAACTTATGTTAACACACTTCCCGCATTATAGGAGTCCCTGTTCCCGACTTTCTCAATGGACCTACATATTCAATCCTCGCCGATGGAGCCACTCCCTTATCACCTCCGCCACCTAGATTCAGTACATATTTGAGTCGACTTTGGTAATCCACAGGTCTATTATCCTTTACTTAAATGAAGTTGTAATACTATTTCCAGGAATAGTATTTAGCACTGACATAACGCTCTGCCTAACTATGCATGTTAAAACATTTACAGGAGCACTTAAATTTTAGACTTCCTATCATGAGTACTTCTTGCGATATGTCGGGATGTCTTTTGTTTTCGTGACATTGAAACCGAAAGCCTTTCATCCGCTCGAGTTACCTTGCAGTGTATCTGCCGCGCTGGTTAGTAGGCCTTCCGCTTAGTTCGTCACCAGTATTTGCCGTGAGTCAGAATCAAATGCAGGCGTGCACTCTACGTTCCAATCAGTCTCTTAGGGTCCTAAAGACCGTTCTAGGCATGCCGTCTCACTCCGGGGCACATATTCATTTCGGGGGTACCAACGGTAAGTAAATTCAGATGCCCCTTGTAATTCTATGCGGAAAGGTTTTCAGCTGAATGTTTTGAGCATCAAATTGCGCCATCTACAGAGCGTGACCTATTTCATGAAATGTTGGCTGAAATTCTGAAATGCGTTTTCGATTAGGAAGGATTAATTGGTCGCGGTTGTGATACTGATCACTTTAGGGCATACTTTTATAACATTTTGGACTCGGCAGGATGTCGGCTTTTAAATGCACTTCTTTTCAATCTCCTGTAGGAAGCGTGCTCGGTAAAAAATGACTACTTAAGTAGCATGCATTTTTCCATTGATTTTCGATGGTTTTTGAAATTCAAATATATTTTATAGAAACCACAAACAAAAATATGCTTTCTTCTAGGCAATCAATAAAGAATCACGTCTTCTTTATATTTTATACTTAAGGAAGGAGCATAATTAGGTTTTAAAAAAGTTTTCTAATTGCCGAAAAATTTGGAGCCTAATCATTTGTTGCATTAGCGCTTAGTGATTACACTCTACAAGGTGCATGCGTTCCGCGTAAAGAAAATCCCATATTTTTCTATGTCATTAAATAGATATCATACAGGGTCCATAAAATTTTGCAATGGATGCGGACCATGTTGTACATTTCATGAGGAGCAGTGGTAAACGGCCAGGTACGATGCTATGCGAATGGACATATCGCGGTCCTAAAATGTCTCATAATTAGAAACTTTTTAAAACCTGATTATGCTCCTTCCTTAAGTATAAAATATAAAGAAGACGTGATTCTCTATTGATTGCTTAAAAGAAAGCATATTTTTGTTGTGGTTTCTAGAAAATATATTTGAATTTCCAAGACCATCGAAAATCAATGGGGAAATGCATGCTACTTAAGTAGTCATTTTTACCGAGCACGCTTTCTACAGGAGATTGAAAAGAAGTGCATTTAAAAGCCGACTTCCTGCCAAGTCCAAAATGTTATAAGAGTATGCCCTAAAATGATCAGTATCACAACCGCGACCAAGTAATCCTTCCTAATCGAAAACGCATTTCAGAATTTCAGCCAACATTTCATGAGATAGGTCACGCACTGTAGCACATGAGCATTAACAATAAGTTTTCTGCTTATCACAGTCGTCCTCACAGTAGTTGCTCGGAGCACGAGTTATGAGCACTTTTATAAGTACTTCAAAGTCACACCTAAGTAGCTTTCTCATGCAACTTGACTTTTGGATGGATCATTGTAGCCATGTTTGCCTTGAAGTTCTAGCTTATAGTCCTAACAGGCGGTTTAAATCTGCATAGCTAGATGTAGTCCTACCTCCAGCGAACTTTAAGCATTCACAAGCACAGCCCGGGCAGAGTAAATCTTAGACGCATTTATTGCACCTTATAGCTCGATGACCTAATGAACCCGCTTCTGCCTGCTAGGTCTTCTCGGTACTGGTGGGGAACATAACTGGTAGACATCGGCGAAGAAATCAGAAATGAACACTACAGTGTCCCTCGTTTCTATCGTCTCTGTTCCACAGTTTTCAAATCTTTAAGAATGATCCCTTCCCCCTCTTCTAAAAGATCGCGCAGCCTCCACGCGTGGTAGGCCCCTGTCTGCAATCTTTATTTCAACATTCGTTGTGTGATTTTCATATCAAGTTTGCCTCAGTGTGCCTGCAGAAACGACAAATTTTACTGTGGATGCCTGGATCCCAAAAAGTACGTGAGTACACTATCTATATCAAATGAACGGCTAGCGTTATCAGGCAACAAGAAGCGGAGACTTGAATCCACTCCTTATGAATGCGTCACTTTCTGTATCTGCTACATCAACGGGGGCAACACCACGCGAAGATTGTGTGTGCGCAGGTGAAAGTGGAACGGCGCACGTTTGTAGGCGTAAATGATGTGTAAACGACCACAAGAACTTTCTCGAAATTAGCTCATGTAGTAAGGAAGTTTGCCCTGCTATGTGCTATTTCATTAGCTACAGCATACTTAACGCCAGAAACCCCATGTTCATCATCTTTATTGACACAGAAAACTTTGGCATTCGATCGGCTCCACAAGCACAATAGCAAATCAGCTAAAGTGGTTAGAGCGTTCGCTGTACTAAAGTCTTCCCTCTCCTGCGTGGGTTCGAATCCCACCGAGGCGCCGAGTTTTTCACAGATGGGTCAGTTTGAATAGCAAATTAGTCAATTTCCAAGAGGCAGAACTCTCCACGAGAAATTTGGCCAGGGAATATTGGAGAAGTAGACCTGAATATTTTTGCATTTCCCTGCCGGTAGACGTGGAGCGTCTAAGTAGTGAGTGTAATCAGAGCACCACATTAGGCAGGATTCATTTTAACTCTAGAGGAGAATGGGAAAGACACCAGTGGAAGTCGGCCGCCGGAGCCCCTACGCGCGGTAGACCCCAGGCCTGCGCGGGCGTTTGTCCGACGAGATAGTGTGGCAGTGAATGAATATGCGACCTACGAGAGCCAGCCAGCGTCAGCTTCATGAATGATTGAGGGGTTTGTGGGAGGCTGTGATTGGCTGTCCTAGTAGCTGCGTGCGCTTTTCCGGCCGCTCGGCAGCCGCGACCACGTAATTCCTATCGCGATACGGATGCCGTTCAGGGACGGCAGAGGAAGTGGGGTAGGACGAGTGGTAGGGGGTAGGGGAGGCGGAGGAGCACGGGGCACGAGGTCAGCACATTTTTACCCTTGGGCAAGTCCGGCGGTCCCTCTGGCACATCAGTCTTGACTCGGACGAGGCTGACGACGCCCTCCTTGTCTCTGCGACAGATCTGACAGGTACTGGTATTGTGTGAGAGTACGCGGAATGATCCTTCATATGGGGATTACAGCGCCTTGTGCACACGCTCGCCCCGAACGAGCACGCATGTGCAGTCAGCTAAGCCTGTTTCAGCACAAGACTCGGGTGATGGAGTTCGCAGCGGGACTGGGTTGAAAGAATGCATAAACTGCCGCAGGCTATGCATCTAGTTGCCAGAACGTTTGTCGGCACCGCGAGGGGGTTTGGCTGAGCATTTCGCCTGGCAGGCGGAGGTAAGTACCGAACACCAGTTCGCCTACGCTGCACTCCAAATCCGACTTCAGTGCCGGTCGAATATCATGAAGTGCCAGTCGACCAGTCCCTTGGGTCCTCTGTGACCAGCGAGGTGGTCTTTATTTAGCGTTGGGAACGCCTGACCATGCCGTTAACTGCTGGATAGTAGACTGTCATCCGAATGTGTGAGTATTCAAGAAAAAGGGAGTGCTTGGAAGACGACAGGCTGGATCTGGACACCTAAGTCAGCCGAAATCGTTGATGTGACATAAAAAATGGAGAATATGCACTCCGGATACGCTGGAGTAGAAACTCGCTTTTGTATGGAACACTGCCAGAAAATGGTTTTCTCGATAATCTTGTCGTGAAATACATGGAAATACGTCGGCCGAAAATGAACCTGTTGACGGCTGAAAAGGAGTTATTCCTCCCATTTGTTTTGAGGGAACCTAACCAACGAACTTCTACAACATTGCCGGAAGTATGCTATTGAGTGCACGTATCCAGCCGCCAGGAAAAGAATAATTTTCTCAAGCACTCCGCTTCTTCGCCTTGAGGGTAAGGATAGGTTGTCGTTTCGGGCTTCTTCAATGTCTTACGAAGTTTCACCTACTCTTGTCGGTCAGGTTATACTGGTCAAACCACCAGGCGTTTGATCAGCAGAAGACATTGGTTAAAACCCTCAACATGTCCTGACCCAAGTTAAGCCTATAATTACCCTCTGGTTCTGAGATATCTGAACGCCCTCAACTCTCTCCCCATGACTATCGCTCATTGGCTGTTTTTAACTTTCGCTGTTTAACCATAACTTGCTTATTTCTCCATGTAGGCCTATTGATGGAAGATCGAAAAAGTATGTTCGCCGAGTTCGTCTTCTTCCTTGTAAATAATCATATCTTTAACTTTCCTTGTTTCATCGAATTTCTTAGGACGAGCTTATTTCCTTCGACTACAAACTTTCCAACTAGGAGAGGTTTCTCGTCTTCATAACGAGGTCTACGACGGAATTAGTGATTACCTTTGACTACTATTCCCAACACCCCTGATGTTTCCAGTGGCACTCACCGCAGATAATTTTTTAAATAAGCTTCCATGTCGCCAAGGGACCAAGGGCATCGTTCTCAATGATGGCAAATGTAGGCGCTACCTGGTAATCAAAAAGTCAGGAGGAAGGCGTTCTCAGACCTGTCAGTTCCATGAAGTATCCTTAGCACATACAAGCGCATGTATTTTGTCATCTAAAAGGTTCCCACTCCTGAACCAAAATTGTGGCGACTAAAGAGAAGTCATCGGCCACTTCAGGTGTCGTTTTGTCGCCTATCATTAGGGTCCTATGATAGATATACATCCCGGAACCTCCATAGATCGCACATAAGAGACAAATGACAGAGAAATTATTATCATCATCAGACAAAAAGAGACCATATAAGAGTTTCCAACTAAGAAATAATGACAGAAGTCTATAAAACGCAAAGTCCTCGTCAACCTTTATGAAAGCCATTAAAGTTGAGAAGCGACACTCACATATATATGGGCAGAATGGCGTCCCCTACCATATATATGTATATATATAGGAGATGCGCAGTTGGAATCTTGAGGAAAAGCCAAGGCTTATAGGCGTTCCTTGGAGACAAGATAATCAAGGCAGTGAGCTGGCCATAAGGCATAAGTGGAACGGAACGTTGTGCCTAGATCTCTGCGTCCGGTGACGCGTTGGGGTAGCAGGCCAGCCCTTTGATGACGTTGTCAATCTCGTCTTCTTTCAAACCACCACCAGAGCGTTTGAGGCGACAACGGCCTTGCTTGAAAGCACTGTGCCCTACCTTGCAGGCAAGTTTATAGGAGACGCTGCGTATTCGATCCCAGGAAGGGTAGAGGCAGCCGTCTTTGAGCTCCTCGTCTGTCACGAGCTCCGAGAGAGCCTGAAAAGGGGACAGGCGTTACAGACTACAACAGGGGTGTGATGCCGCACTATCATGGAATTCCAGGCAGCCCGGGCGAGCGCAGCTGTAGGGGGCACTCGAGCTCTATTTTCTCACTTGAATCAACAGGAGCACAAACGGACTGCGTGTCCTATGATGGTCAAAGCCATTCGCCAGATGGTCGATTAATGCGACCTTAAAGAGACTTCCTGCTACACATCCCACGCGGACCTGATAGACTTTCAGCCGATAGCGGGTCCAGCGCCAGGATTCCTCCCGGAGGTAACTTTGAGCCGTTTATGTTCTCGAACTCAGTACAAACAAGTTATTCATCTTCCATTTGATCCAATCGGAAAAATATCAGCGGCCTCGGTGGGATTCGAACCGAAGACACCAGGTGCAAGGTTGAGTTCGGTCAAAGCCCTAAGCACCTTAGCTACAAAGCCCCACTGGGAGCCGTAGGTTCAATCTTTCAACTTTGTCTCCCTGAATCTTTACCTGGGAGTGGGCTGTATTTGTTGGTCAATACCGACCGACGTCTCTCATCTCATCAGAAGTAAAAAAGAGGCAAGACTCAGGACAAAGAACGTATATGGTCGATGCTAATGGAAAAAAGCTGCAATCTTGTCGTTCAGTAAGTGTAAAAAAGTGCAGCCACGGTAAAGAGATGAGATTGGACGAACTCATGCAAGAAAAGTACTCAAGAATGAGTGAGGAAGACGGGGTCAGGTATATGGGCATTCGCGTCCTGTAGACCTTGATTTAGGGCTAGCGACCAAATGACAATAAAGAAACTACAGTGCGTGACCTATCTCATGAAATGTTGGCTGAAATTCTGAAATGCGTTTTCGATTAGGAAGGATTAATTGGTCGCGGTTGTGATACTGATTATCTCAAGGCATACACTTATAACACTTTGGACTCGGCAGGATGTCTGCTTTTAAATGCACTTCTTTTTAATCTCCTGTAGAAAGCGTGCTCGGTAAAAATGACTACTTAAGTAGCATGCATTTTTCCCATTGATTTTCAATGGTCTTTGAAATTCAAATATATTTTATAGAAAACACAAACAAAAATATGCTTTCTTTTAAGCAATCAATAGAGAATCACGTCTTCTTTATATGTTATACTTAAGGAAGGAGTATAATTAGGTTTTAAAAAAGTTTCTAATTATGAGACTTTTTAAGACCCCGATATGTCCATTCGCATAACATCGCACCTGGCCGTTTACCACTGCTCCTCATGAAATGTACAACATGGTCCGCATCCATTGCAAAATTTTATGGACCCTGTATGATATCTATTTAATGACATAGAAAAATATGGGATTTTCTTTACGCGGAACGCATGCATCTTGTAGAGTGTAATCATTAGGCTCTAATGCAACGAATGATCAGTCTCCAAATTTTTCGGCAATAAGAAAACTTTTTTAAAACCTAATTATACTCCTTCCTTAAGTATAAAATATAAAGAAGACGTGATTTTCTATTGATAGACTAAAAGAAAGCATATTTTTGTTTGTGGTTTCTATAAAATATATTTGAATTTCAAAGACCATCGAAAATCAATGGGAAAAATGCATGCTACTTAAGTAGTCATTTTTTACCGAGCACGCTTACTACAGAAGATTGAAAAGAAGTGCACTTAAAAGCCGACATCCTGCCGAGTCCGAAATGTTATAAGAGTATGCCTTAAGATAATCAGTATTACAAGCGCACCAAGTAATCCTTCCTAATAGAAAACGCATTTCAGAATTTCAGCCAACATTTCATGAGATAGGTCACGCACTGTACCTGTCACGCGTGACTAAGTTTTTGTACTTTATTAGCTTCCCATTATCCCTTTATTTACGCGTCAATTTCGACGGAAAAGTGACATTCTAGGCCATGCCCACAAGAGACGGCAATTTTTAAAAACGGATATGATTCATTTTGACCCAAATATGAGAAACTTGGCGACCTCCTTAGGATCCGAACCTATGACAGCAAGGGAGAGGCTTGAGTACCCGAGCTACTGAACCCTAGGTTACCTGACCACCCCAGCCCCTTTCTGTCATGGGTTCGAATCCCACCGAGGTTGCTTATTTTTTTCAAAATCGGGCCCGTAACACCCTCCGGTCATTCTGAATCTGCTCTGCCACTGAGCTCTGGTGGGTGAAGGGAGGCGGGGAGAGTGCGGGAGATGCTTCGCAAGTCCGCTATCACAGTAAGTCAGTTAACGCGCAAATCACTGTCTTGTGTCCGCCACAGTGTTGGGCGCACGGTCGACATCGTCGTTTGAGGCGGTCGAACTGATATGCTAATGATCGTATGACATGGTGGGAATGGCTTTCGACCTGACGAAGAGAGGCAACACAAGGACGGGAGAATACGCTTTGTTGCATCACTGCTACCTTCTTTGTTTAAACGTTTGTGCGAAGGTTGTGCTTTCGGAGGCAATGAGGTCCAAAAACTGCAGCATCGTTGTCTCCGAACTAGGGGTGTTAATATAGTAGAGTTGGAAAGGATTACAGATATCCGTCTTTAATGTCTCCACAAAGCCCCGATCTCTTTGTCAATTCGGCATATCTTCGTTGGTATGGTGTCCCTTTCGGACGTCGGACGTATGTACCGGAAGACATCCACTGGCAGTACGGAAGGTATGACGCTGTCTCACTCTAGTGTTAATCACAAAGACATTCTCAGTGGGCTGCGAAACAAATCCCACAATAGGTGATTTACATTTGGTTGATTGAAGAGTTGTTGCAGGAGTGATAAAGTGCCCCTTTCTCAGCCTCATTTGTCCTCGTCGAGCCTACTTAATTATTTATTTTTCCGTTACTTACCTGGTGGTGTCTTTTTCGCCAAAGTTTACATGTTTCCTATAACAGAGATGAGTTCCCAAGCGTTCTGAAAATCCAGAAAGATGTCTTGTTTAATTTCCTCGGAAATTAAACAAGGCAAGTTGAAACTGGAGTTCATATACCAGAAAACACACGGGGAAAGCTGGGGCACCCACTGACAAGTCGAACCCCTCGCAGCTGCGTCAGGCAGCGGCATAAGATCGACGAAACACGCGTGTCTGGGCTTTTAGCTAATACCTATGTTGTTAGTACGGTAAATCATTGTACAATCCAGAAAGTGTCTGCGCACATTTGTTTTGTACAAAATATAGGGCCTCAAACTGGCTAACAAACCTCAGCAGCTGCGATGAAGTCCCCATCGGTGATTGGCTGGATGCGCAGGGCAGAAATAGATAACACGAGACCGGGTAAGATGTAGGAACTGTTGGCCTGACCCGGCTTACGGCACGTCTTTGAGTTATCGGGCGTCTCATTAGGTTCTAATGTCACCGGCGCAGAGGGATTTCCGCTCGCAAAGAGGCACTGACCCTGTTGGAGAAGAGAAATGAACGATGGTTATTTCATGAGATAAGGCCCCCAGTGGTCGCAGTTACCATGAAGGCAAACTTATGATGGTTTCGTCAAACCACTTACTGAAATTTGAATTACTACCTCCTGGACGTCAATTAAAGATGTCTTGGTCAGGCCAAAGAGAGAGCCATTCCGCTCTGCATAGTCTATGCTAACTATTTGTGGACCTTGGCAATGCAGTAATCGTTATCATGGGAGCTTACTCCAGAGTGTCATACAAACTTGAGGATATCAACCTCCTCAGGGGAGTTATGATCTGACACCGCTCAAACTGACGTAACCCCTGAGCCATCAAATCGCGGAAGAGAAAAGAAAACAAAAAGTCGAACATGGACAAAGAGGGGAGATGAATTGCCTTAGTGGCCTTGTAGGCGGCTTCAGCAGTGCACTCAGCCCTTTCTGTTGGTGTACTCAGTGCAAAGATCAGTGGTTCTCGGCAGTGTTCCGCCAGCTGAGACATTGCTTCTGATGAGAAGGAGTTCGGAACCGCAGAAGCACCAATCAGCGACGTACACTTGCAGTACTTGATGATCTGCCATTTGAGATGGAAGAATAAATAGTCAGCTGCAATTTTACACAGTTATCGGACAGAGAAAAATCAAAGCAGAGGTGCCCTTCTTGCTCCCAGTCAACACAGAAATGAGAGTAAAATAAACAACTTTTCATGTTATAAGCAGTGGTGTATCAGCGAGCAAAAAGATTATGTCGAAATTCCTAAAGGCGCCAACGAACAACGTTAGGAATTCATTTTAAGACCTCTACCGAAGGCAACTGACTTGTGTATCTCGACAACGTATGTATAATTTCGGTTAGTTAGAATAGAAAAGGTAAATCCATGCTAGCTAAAACGAAAGATGGCTACCTAGAAGGTGAGAAAAATTAATTAAAAGGGACTAGGATCTTGCATTTCATATTGATCAGGTGGTCTACTGCACCCTAGCTATGCAGTATGGGGTCATTGGGAAAGTGGTGGTGTTGTGAGATGTTAGGCTAAATGAATAACGATAAAAATACGGTCATCCAAAGAAGAGCGTGCGCCGTCGTGGAGAGAAGGTAAGGGCGATAAAATTTTACTGCGAGGTGGGAATTGGTAAAAAATAAGAACTGAAAAAATTATACTCGGCCAAGACGCTGTCGAGCTACCTTTCGTAAGCCGACTCTTCCATATGGCGACGGAACGGTGTTCCAGAAGTGTGTGTGAAGTTGACAACAGAAACCATAGTGACCCACGTATCATAGTGCTCAGTAGTGTGACCATCGAGCCCAATGGTTGAAACAGCAATAATGAAGAAAACAAGATATTATTTCTGTCGGGCTATCAGTGGCACTTTTTGTCAATCATACGACCAAGCGACAAAGATACAGTTGACGCAAATAAAACCACTTACAGCCAGTATATGCGTGGATTCTCCAACCAAGTAGGCTGGGGGGCACTTTTGCTGGCTGCTATCAGTCTTTTTTTTTACCAGAAACGACGATTTGAAAACCATTGTATGCATTATTTCCAATCCATTTAGGGATAGAGGAATTCTGACCGCGCACTATTTGATAAAAGTACTACTGGAAATTTAAGAGGTGTCCGGTCAAATTTCATAGCCTAATTCATATCCACCGCATTTTATTATTCGAAAGCTGACCACATCCCATAGCGAAAGCACCGCAGCACGCGTATAGCTCTTATCATCCAGTGACCCCCAACACCTGTTGCAAAGGACATCCACTGTTTGAGAAATGGGAGTATTTTAAACTAGACCGTGACTGTTATAGTCCAGATAGTAATCTAAGATAAGGTTTCTAGCACCCTCATTATCAGATTTTGCAGAGAAACCGTTTTATTAAAAAATGAAGATTGCCATTGATTTTTAAGCCCGAGAGACTTTATACGGTTGTCTGCTTCGCTGGGGTATGGCGAAAAAAGTGTTGTCATCGACTAGGGGCATACTGCAATACGTCCCCAAGCATATATATTATCGCCCTATCACACGTACACATACACACACATGCAGTCTGTCTGAGCATCCGAGGCAGGATCCATCAGCCGATCATCCTGCTTATCCAGGGTCTGAATCGTATTAAACTACAATACGCGTGAGTCACTTGCAAGGCTTATCACCTCCAACGACTGGTTACTTTAAGCCTATCGGAGTCCTTAACCTGGCGCCAGGACCGATGTACAAGGATTCAAAGACCCCTAGAGATTTCTCCAGGGCAGGATGGCACGGAGCTCGACGCAAACGGAGGACCAATGAGGTTTTCAGCTTACGATTCACCAAGAGTCCCGTTCCTTTAAATCTACTATCCATCACAGTTTAACGTCCTTTCCTAACAACATGTTAGCTTGGAGCACTTTCTGCATAAAGCTGATCATGTCCCTCTAGAACAGAAAAAACAGAAAATTCAGCCACGATCGTCTACATTGCCGCCTTTGCTTGTGCGGAAGTTTTCAGAATCTCGTTTTCCTTGAAGACCAATATACATTGCCGATTGGCCATTCGGCTCTTCTAAATGCGCTTCAGTGGTAGAATCATTCGTCACGGCTGTCAAAAAACGTACTGATCGTTAACTTTTGTTTTTTCTGACTAGTCAGTATGCGGGTTGACAAGGGAAAAATATGAACGTAACATCCGGAGATTCTGGGTGCATTAGAATAGTTGGATTAGATGATTATGATCCCATATGGCTACCCATTCCGAGAGATGTTTTTACCCAGCTGGCAGCAGCTTCTTAAGTTACACTTTTGCAAAAGAAATAAATATCATATTTTAATATGAAAAAAGTAGTCTGATTGACTTTTTGGGCAGATGTGGTTATGTTGCCCCACCTGAGCTAAGGAAACCCCAGCCACCTCTAATAAGGGACCGGGGAACGCGTAGGCGACGAGATCAAGTAGTTGTGTGCAAAAGGAACGCTATTGGGGATGCGAGGTTGTACTTCGAGTACTTGAGAAATATTTTCCCCAACCCCTAACCCTAACCCCAACCCCAACAGTATTGTGTCCATCAAATGGGGCTACATAATCACGCTTTACCGACTTTTTAATGATAAATGACAGATGATAATCAAGACCTTGACCCAGAAAATAATGAGTTAAAGTAGTTACACATGATTTATTGGGTAGGACATGTGACAATGTATGAAAAACTCCATGGGTGTTTGTTCCGATAGTCTTGCGCAAACTCCTTCGACTTAACACCCAGAACAGGGCAGTAAGAAACTGGCACCCCGTCCCCGAGGTCGGCGGAGCGGTCTCTTACTTGCGCCGCTCTTCTATCCATCTCTGGCTTCCTGTCAATTCGCTGCCGGAGCCGCATATGACTTGGCACCAGTGTGGCAAGAGTTCGAGGACAATCGATACTCTGTCCTTCGCTGACTGGCTGCAGGCAGACAAAGTCCAAGCGCACGCACGCGTTTCGCGCAGGGACTAGAATCTCACTTGCCTGGTGAGAACGCCTCCCGTAGCTGCTCGCTGAGCTGCATGTATACTTCGTCGCCTAAGTAGAGCTCATCCAACTGTCTTCCCTGCCTTCTGACTTGGAAATCTTCGGGCTGTCGGCCAACTGCGTCAGAACTGATGACTGGATCAAAACTTGTTCGCAGTCTCGCAGTGTGTGTTTGCAACTTAGACTTCCACCGTAACATTCGTACTTACGCTGGTGTATTCTGTCTCCCCTTCGGAGTCTGAGAACAAGGGGTATTGGGCGCGTCGGGCCCGAAGACAACATGTGAAATGAACGGCTATGAGGGGTGTTTGCGCAGTACCGACCTCACCCCTGCTTTCCCATGCAAGAAAAACCAGGCTAATACCAGAAACGAAATAGGAAGAAGTATCTGACTTGGCCGGAACCAGCCCTGTATGTCCGTCATGGGCCGGATGGTACTTCTGCTATTACCGCGAGGTCTAATCTTCCAAGCTTACAAGGTTTTTTGCCATTAACATCTACTACGGAAATTTGACAGCGGCGCTCAGCACGATCTTGTGGAGATAAATGATTGCTTAGCGTCTCTTATGGTCATGTCCGACTGACCACCTCATACAGTCAGGTGCTTAGTGAGATTGTGTTACGACCCGACCTGGTACTCAGCAGAGGCACGAAGAAACGACCAGAAGAGTCGAGAAACCTCTTGCAGACGTGAACTGACCAGGTTCGAGGAAAGCACTTTGGCCGCAGCCAATGGCAAGACGGTGTCAAGAGCACGCTGTCGGGACGCGCGAACGGGCTTTACAGTGAGACTGCCGGACTCTTTTCGGGACAGTGGACATTCCAAACGAATTGTCAATCCGTCAAAGTGACTACCCTTTTTTGGCATCCCCTACACCTTCCCTGCCAAATCAAGAATGCGTAAACAAACATAGGAATCAGGAAACGCACCTCCTTTAAGTCGGTCATCTCTGGTGTTCCAACCGGCCTTGCAAAGACGGCCTTTTCAGTACTGATTCCGCCTTTGGCCCGATTCTTCACGATCAGGCCGCGACTGTCCACCATGAAAATGCGACTCCGCGCCTCTCTTTCATTGAGGGAACAGAGAGACTTCAGAGCTTCCAACAGCAGACGGGCGAAACCAAGCATCAACTTGCCGGCGCCAAAACAGACAAAAGTCTCCTCTTGCAGTTTGCGTCCTGACTTCCGGCTCGCAGTAAGTAGGCCTGACAGGATAGCTGATGCGGCACCCTATGTAGGGAAGCAACGAAGTACGAGTAATAAGCAATGTAATGGGTGACAATAACCTTTGAATTGTGCAATGATTTACCGTACTAACAACACAGGTATTAGCTAAAAGCCCAGGCACGCGTGTTTTGCCGATCTTGTGCCGCTGCCTGACGCAGCTGCGAGGGGTTCGGCTCGTCAGTGGGTCCCCCAGCTTTCCCCGTGTGTTTTCTGGTATATGAACTCCAGTTTCAACTTGCCTTGTTTAATTTCCGAGGAAACTTGTAGTAACTCTTTCGAAACAGACCTTTTCAGGCACGGTTTAAAGTTTTATATGAATATTTGAGCTGAAACATGGCGAAACACGCGTGTCTGGGCTTTTAGCTAATACCTGTGTTGTTAGTATGGTAAATCATCGCACACTCCTATACTACTGGCTGCCTGTTGGCGGTTTGTGAATATTAAGCGGTTATTCCGCAGTAGCTGATGGATTTCAGCTCAAATATTCATATCAAACTTCGGACCGTGCCTGAAAAGGTCTGTTTTGAAAGAATTACTCCAAGTTCGCACATTAGTTTCCTCTGAAATTAAACAAGGCAAAATGACCTTTGAGTTAGGAGAAAGTTCGTAGGATGCTCCCGCGGCCTGACACTGTTGGATAATTATTCTACACCAGAAGTTTGAACCTAGGACTTCCAGAACGGACCGCAAAATTGGTCCGCGAGTAACTGCATTATAATCGACCATGAATAATTTATTCCGTGGAATGCCGTCTCTCATTTAAGCATCCATCTGTGGACTCGCCTTGAGCTACTGTTTAGATTAAACTGATGTTGTGTTCAAAGCCTTCATGCAACCAACCTACACATCTAATAGTTTTTGCCTTTAGGAGAGAGGATACCGAAAGTTTTAACTGCTATGTTCTATAATACGTTTTGAGCGGGCGTGAAAAAAATGCAATTCAGTGAACTCGTAAAAGTCTGTTGGAGTTAGGAAACTTTGACTTACTGAGAGTGAGTAGTTTAAGGAATCAAAGTATTGCGATTTGCAGCTTATCAGAAGTCTTCAGTATTGATTGTAACGGACTATGCATAAATTCGGAACAAAGTAAGGGAACAATGTTCAGATCACCATCATCGTTCCTGATGTTCTTCCTGAAAATGGACGAAGATTACGCAGTCCTGGCCCGCGTAAGTTTATCCACAAACAAGACACATCTCTTCACGGACCAGACGGCTGTCTCGAAAGCTGGTGGCAGCAAGTTACTAGTTCACCATAAATGCGGAGGGCAGTGGCCTGTGTCACACTTTTGGTGGCTCCTAGTGAGGGAGGATGGGTGACTAGCAAAAACTTCTTAAGGAACTTAATACCCCGTAATCTTCCCGCCGGTAGTGAACATTATTCAACTATGTGCAAACTGTTTCTGTCACGGCTGGAACCGCTGCTTTATGATATGTACTGTTTTTATGCTCTCTTATTGATACGCCATCTTATTGCATGCGATATGTCAAGGCCGTAGTTTCGGACACAAAAACCTTTCCGAAGGACGCGTTTTTTCTAAACTGAGCAACTAGTTTTGACCTTTTCACTCTCTAGTATTCGTGTTCTTTTTTTAACGCACACACTTTATTATCTGGCTATCTGCAACATAACCTTCTTGTCTGTTCACTCGTACCAATTAAAGACGTTTTAAATTTATCCCCGCCAGAGATCCTCGTAGGAAACTAATTTTTTTACGTTTACTGTTCAATTCCTCGATAATGATACCCGTACGTTTCGCTTGCGGGCGACCATAGAGTTCGCTTACCCACCGTTGAAAATTTTGCCTATATCAAGTTATAGACATACCCTCTCATTCCAGGGCAAATATTCATTTCGGGGTACAAACGGTAGGTCAATTAAGGTGGCCCTTCAAATTCTCTGCGGCAAAGTTTTTCATCTGAATGTTTTGAGCAACAAATTGCGCCATCGACAGTGCGTGACCGATCTCATGAAATGTTGGTCAAAATTCTGGAATGCGTTTCCGATTAGGAAGGATTACTTGAGTGGGGTTGTTATACTGATTATCATGCAGCATTGCCTTAAAACTTGTCGGCTTTTGAATGCACTTCTTGTTGACCTCCTGCAGAAACCACACTCGGTAAAAAAAGGACTACTTAATTAGCATGCATTTGTCGTATTGATTTCCGATGATCTTATAAATGCAAATATATTTTACAGAAAACGTGCGCAAAATATGCTTTCTTTTGCTCATTTGGAAGGAAATCACATAATTTCCATATCTTATGCCAGAAGAAAGTGTGCATTTAGGTTTTGAAAAAGTTTCCTAATTCCCGTATAATTTTCAGCCTGATCTGCCATCCCATCAGCGTTTATCGATTTCAGTCTACAAGGTGCATGCTTTCCGCGTAAGGAAAGCCATATATTCCTCTATGTCTTTAACAAGATAACACATAGAGTTCATGAAATTTCGCAATAGATCAGGACTATGTTGTACATTTTATGAGGAGCATTAGTAAACGGACATGTGCAGTCTTGCATGCATGGACATCGCACCGTCAAAAGCATCTCATAATTCGACACTTTTTTAAAACCTAAATGCACACTTTCTTCTGGCACAAGATACGGAAACAATGTGAGTTCGTACTAAATGTACAAAGGAAAGCATACTTTGTGCATGTTTTCTATAAAATATATTTGAATTTTTAAGACAATCGAACATCCATAGGAAAAATGCATGCTAATTAAGTAATCATTTTTTACCGAGTGTGGTGTCTGCAGGAGGTCAAAAAGAAGTGCATTCAAAAGCCGACATGTTATAGGGTCATGCTGCATGATAATCAGTATAACAACCCCACTCAAGCAATCCTTCCTTACCGTAAACGCATTCCTGAATTTTGGCTAGTATTTCATGAGATCTGTCACGCACTCTAAGTAAGCTGGCGTCCTTAAACCACTCCATTTGTACCTACGCTTATGTTCATGTGGTCAGTACCACGGCCGATGACCTTGAACTCTGCACAGACTGGATGACATGCATTACCCAGCTGGATTCCATGTCCGGCATTAACACCGCTAACTAGCTCTCATACCTCTTCGTCTGTATATAGTTACCAATTTGTACAACTCGCTTGTAGGTCTCCAAAATAGTGATATTCGACAAAAGTGCAGGCTATAGGTCTCTCTTGGGCATGGAACTGAGTGGAAGCATTCGCATGAAGATGTATTTTTGAGCCGTTGACCACATGGGTTCTCATGCATCCCGGTAATTTCTGTTTAAGTACAGACTCATCTGCTGTTTGACGAAGTGAGCTCTAATTGAAAGACATCTCAGCTGACTTCAGTTTAGTGAATAACACCGTCACACTAATAAGCATTGATGTGAAGCTTAAAGGCCACCAAAATAAGTAAACTAAACTAATCGTGCTATCCTGGATACCGGATTAACTAAACAATTTTTTCATTCTTTAAGGCCAGACGAGCGGGTTCTCGATCTTTGCAGCTGTTTTTTAAAAAAACGCCGGCGCTCTACATCCTGCCAGTAATAGTCACAAAGACGCCGAGCTAACGGGCACCACCCCTTACACGCGCATGGCTCGATGTGGCTACGGTGTTAACTCCGATTCAGAGGGCGCGAAAACACAGTGGGTGACTGAAACAAAAGCAAGCCAACGAATTCCTCAAGTAGAACTATTAAACTTATGAGAAGCACGCCGACCAACCTGGATGTCATCATTGAAGCAGCAGTACTGTGGAGCGTACTTCTTCTGAAAACGTAGGGCGGTTTGATTAGAAAAATCCTCGAATTGGATGAGCACATCCTTGCCGAATCTGCAGAGGGAACGGAAGCACAGAAAGTCTGTCAGTAAACAAGGATAGCTGCGTACGAAGCAAGTGACTACATTCTACAGCCCAAACGCCATTCAAGAATAAGACTTACGGTGGAAGATGGTTTCCACCTGCGCAATTCGAAAATCATATGTAGTTAAAGACAACATGATTCTAGCACACTATAGGCTATTTACCACTGAACCCAATAAGCGTCATTTCGCCTGTATACTTCCAGTAAAGAGAGAGGGAGTCCGTTCACTCTCAAAATTTATTTAAAGTGCGCTGCACTGAATACTGTGACCGGCTGTGAAAAGCTATTCAAAAATTCAAAGGGGGTGTTTGTAGCCTATTACTTCAGCAACAACAGGATCAAGTGCCTTATGACCGTCTATATGTTCAGATCACCACATAAGTCCATCATTCCGTCGTTTGAGTAATCTTTCAGGTATTATCTGAAACTCCTGTCCTCACGCTGCCGAGAAGGTGCTTGTCTTTTGTTACGTCCCTCTCCAAATGTCCTAAAAGACCTGCTACCCGAATAACCACTATCTCCCCCGTCTCGAGTGTGTCTGTGGTGATCGCATGTTGGAGGGCGTGACGTTGCTGTAATATTGACACTACAGTGAGAAGGAGGCAGAGATCTCTTGAGCGAATGTATTAGCGACAGCGAGGTTGACCGGAGATGACCGGACAACCGGCTCACCCAACGGGAAAATCGACTAACCATTGGGCATGACGGCTATCCCAGCGGCCCTATTGCGCTCCGACATGTGGTCTGTCTCTGCAGGCCAGTCTCTACTGGCACATTCGCACTAACTGGACGATGACGAAGGCAGAAGGCACCGAAAATAAGACGCAAATTTAGACCAGTATATGGCCGACAGGGTGAAGGGCTCATAAATAATCACTTCGATTCATGAGCAGCACAGGTTCCGTCAATGGGGAGCTGGTCCAGTCGTCCAAAAGTCAGCAATTTAGAGCAGAGACCTATTCCTACAGTGCGTGACCGATCTAATGAAATGATGGCCGGAATTCTGAAGTGTGTTTTCGATTAGGAAGGAGTACTTAGGTGAGCTTGTAACATTGATTAGCTTGCAGCCTAATCCTATAGCATTTCGGACTTAACAGGATGTCGGCTTTTGGATGCACTTCTTTCTGACCTTCTGCAGAAACCGCGATATGCAAAAAATGACTACTTAATTAGCATGTATTTTTCGTATTGATTTTCGATGGTCTTACAAATTCAAATATATTTTATAGAGAACGTGCACAAAATATGCCCTCTTTTCATCGTTCGGTAGGATCTCACACTGCATTCATATTTTATGTCCGAAGAAAGTGCATATTTTGGTTTCAAAAAGTTTTCTAATTCCCGAATAATTTTAAGCCAGATCTGCCATTGCATTAACAACTAGCGATTTCAGTTTGCAAAGTGCAAGCTTTCCGCTTAAGGAAAGTCATATATTCCTCTATGCCTTTAAGAAGATGCCATATAGAGTTTATAACATTTTGCAATGGATACGGACATGTACGATGTTGTATACATGAACATTGCACGGTCTTGAAAATCTCATAATTAGAAGCTTTCTTAAAGCCTAAATCTACATGTTCTTCAGGTATAAGATATGAATGCAGTGTGAGATCCTACCGAACGATTAAAAGAGGGCATATTTTGTGCACGTTCTCTATAAAATATATTTGAATTTGTAAGACCATCGCAAATCAATACGAAAAATACATGCAATTTAAGTAGTCATTTTTGTAGATCGCGGTTTCAGCAGAAGGTCAGAAAGGAGTACATCCAAAAGCCGACATCCTGCTGAGTCAAAAATGCTATAGGATTAGGCTGCATACTAATCAATATTACAACCCCACCTTAGTAATCCTTCCTAATGGAAAACACATTTCAGAATTTTGGCCAACATTTCATGAGATCGGTCACGCACCGTATTTCTCACTCTAGTATTCTGGGACTCGTAAAGTCACTGCCTAAAAAATATACGGGGACATCGCGTCGATGTGTCCGTCGTCTAAGTCCAGTACTATAAAGTTCAGCAAGCCGGATGCGGATGTCTGTAAGTAAATAGAGTACCTCAGATTTGCAACAAGTCAAAAAACTCCGCGGTACGTTAACGGATTAGAATAGGCCACTAGACTGGCCAGGGTGAGCATCCGTGACCCATCAGGACTTCTTCCTCGAAGGCAAGCACGCTGAGTCCGAGGAATTGTCCACAGCACAACTTTTGGGCCCACTAGGACATCTGCATCGTTCTTACACGGCCAATGAACGAGGAGCGGCATAAATTCGAAAAAAGCTCGATCCAGGCATGTATGTGTACACAAATAATAAGAAAAAAAGTCAACAATGAAGCTCTAAGAAGTACTAAACGTCTCCGTCCTAAACACAGCCTGGCAGTATTTCCGCGTTGCACATCATCAGTCAGGAAATTCCTCGCAGACATGACGCTTCACCTTGACTTTGTCAGGGACGACTCGAATGCCAGACATGGGGATCCGGATCAATCACAGTCATCCGAACAGACCAGTTAACGTAAAGGCTGCCGAGGGTGCGACTTCGTCCAATACAATCTGAGGCCGCCCTGTTTGACACGGGAATAAGAACCCCATTCCTGCATTACAGGTGGTCTTGCGGCAAATTTCGGGAGGGAAACGATAGGGTGTAGGGTACTATGTAGATGGCAACTCCTAAAATATACCCTAAAATGCAGTGCGACTGTGAACATCACTCATTATTCACCGCTCCCATTGTTTGAAATTTCCTCCGCTTCCTGACTAAATGTGAACTTACCAGCGGCGCTTTATTCACTGCCCGTTTGTTTACAAATTGCTTTCTATTTATTGTTTAATTTTTGCGCTTACTTTCTTTGCCAAATGACAGCGTATGATTAGATTTTCAGTGGAAATTTATCTATCTTCTGTGTCTTCCCGCTCTCCGTCCCTCGTACTGCCCCACCCGTAAAACCCCTTCTACCACCATTCAACGTATGACATGGTCCAAAGGTTAGCTCAAACTAGTTGGTGGTCCTACACCCTATCCTTGCCTCAGAGAGAAGTAACTATTAAAGGGTCATAACTTTAACCCTGACCCTGATCCCAGTCATAGTCCTAACTTCCCCTGGAATTTAACGCAAAGCCACCGTGCCCTGTCAGCCACCCCATTTATTTCAGACGTCGGGCGTTCATTTGCCAACCTGCTCCAGATGCACGTCTTGCTTCCATCTTCTTCTCTTACTCGGGACCGGGTCCGAGAGTCGTAGTGGTTACTATCTGCCCCTGGCTAGTTTATGCATCCAATAATGACAACGAAAAGCGAAATACGAATAAAATAGAAACCAGCATCATTGATTTGCCGAGTAGCACTCTCAGGGTCTAGTGAGACAAGAACTCAGTTCTGCAGTCGACAGGCCTGTCCACACCAACAGAAGTGAGAAATGGTCAAAATGGCCTCGAGTTAAGCAAAGATTTAAAATGGCAACTATAGGAAAAATCAGTTTCCTTGTGATGTGGAGCTAGGATTTACTTGTGCTTTAGTTTAGCGGGAGGGGTGACCTTCGTCAGGGCTGCAAATAGGAAGTTTCATGGTTTGAACAGATTCCAAACCTATCGGTTTTAACGGTGACAACATAACTGAGAATGCCTTGCGGAAGGATGAGCCGATATTCAGGACGAACTTAATCGGATGACTCAGTTTCGTAAAACGGGGCACGACGTTACGGAGAACAAGACCAGGAAATAATAGACAGTGTGTGAAAAGAATTACTCAGACTTCTGTGTGCAAATTCGAAAAGGTACCAGAATGTTGACCCAGCTGACAGTAATTGGAAACTCACACCTTGGTGCAGGATTGCATGAACTCTGCAACGAAATTATCGTAGGCATCACCTGTTGCACGTTCCGCGCGAACGCCAAAGTAGAGCGGGTCGTCCAACAGTTTCTGCAACGACAAGTGAGAAGCTTCAAATTTCGCAGGACGGGAATTAACCAGACGACTGGGCATTCAAGAAACGGCTAAGTTGTCAGTCTAGTTCAGGAATAGGAATAGCTTTTTTCAAATTGTGAAAGGAGTTAGTCGAAAAAACGATAAACCTGACAGCAACAATGTGCCTATACAATGTCACGGTGGAGATGGGAAGTTTTGTCGAATGCGAATAGGAAGAACCAATCAAGCAGATTAGATGACGAACAAAGATACGAAAGTAGTTACTAGGCGAACCGAAGCATGGCGAAGTCTATTTCCATTACTCGTATTCAGCCAGGATAGTGGCTACCGCTGTGGCCGCCCAGCGAGAGGACTTATAACTCTCAAAGGAGAAGAGTGTTCGGGTTCGCGCTCCTTAGAGAACAATGACACAGACCGCTCACGACATTCTCGCCTTTTGCAAGGATTTTTACCTCATCGTAACAGAAGTTGTGACTGACCTTTTCGAGTGAAGTTCGACTAGTGAGCTGCCGTCATTCCTGCCCCAGTGACAGGTCTGTGATCGCACAGTAGCTACATCCTCTAAACACCGCAACGTTAAGTACCGTGCCGACTCTCTCTTTCTCCATCTCTGGTTCTGTGTCTATCAGTCTGTACTAATAGGAATGCTAGGCCTCAGAATGATGATGACAATAATGGGTTTAAGGTTGAAGTACACAGAATATGTGCCCACAGGAATTTAGCGCAAAACAACTTGTCATATGGGAGTTCCTATTCCCGTGTCTTAGCGAGGGCACCGTAAGCAGACTACAAAAATGTATATTGGACATTTCTACCAAACGTGCTATACTTGTAAGTGAGAAACAAAACCCAGTTAATGGGAAAAGTTGATGCCGTTTGGCGTTTTTGTTAGGAAATTGGTCAGGCGACCTAAAGCACATTACAACGACAATTGTGTCAATGAAGTGATGAATTGGAGGTGCACTGGAGTGACGGATGCACACTGAGCTGCGGCAATGCGTCGTGTTACGTACACTTAGGTACATTCGCGTGTGGGCCAAAAGGAAATGTAGTCTCCGAGCGCTGTTTTTATGAGAGCTTACCTGGTTGTTGGTGCCTACGTCAAGGACGACGGGGAGACAGTTCTCCGGTGAAATGCCCGCGAGGGCGGTGCAGAGGACCAGTTTTCCCACGGCGATGCCCATTCCGTATGCGCCGAGATCCCCCAGTTTGAGGACTCGCTCTCCGTCGGTCACAACAATGACCTAAATGGAAGGGGTACATGAACCCAATAACAAATTCCTCCATGAAAAACGCCGAGGATCGCTGCTGTACACCGTTCTGGCATGAACAGGAATTTCTCAGCATTTAAACAGGCTTGCGCTGTAGCAACCTCCTTTTCTTTTTCCACTCCCAATGTATTTAGAGTGTAAGGCAGGGTCAAAGAGTCTGGAACTGGGAGTTGGCACCGTAGATGAGGAGAGCCAGATTAGGTCTACATGTGCCATACACTTGCTGTTCCCCGCTCGCTCATGTACCAACTTTCAAATTGACGGGTTCAAAATCTCTCTCTTATGTGACCTGTCATGAAAGCCACATAACGGCCTGACCCCTTGGTCTGAAGGAGGGTTGAGTCATCTTAGAAGTCAACAACTTTCCAAGCCACGATTATTAACGCGTCTTGATAGTATGAAGACGAATCTGCTTGTTTACAGCAATAGACTTCCGAATTAGGTCACAACTGAACAGATGCAGGTCATATGTTGATCGCCAGGCAGTAAACTAAGCCGGGTAACATTTTCGTTCAACGACGATATCTCTAGAGCAGATTACATGAGCAAGGCCTTCACATGAGGCTAAATTTCCCAAACTAAATAATGGAATTTGATGATTATGTTGTGCAATTGTCAGATTTAATTTTTGAAATCAGAATCCTGTGTAAACTATCACTTTTAACGCCGAATCAGGTATATTTTCTTCTTGAAATGATAAATTTGTCTTTAGGCAGAATTAAATTACCGACAAATACAAGGGAGACTGGAATGGCCATTTCTGGTTTATTAACCATCGTCATCTAGTCATACCCAACCCCGAAGTATGAAACACCTGTGACTCGACCCCGCGACCTGTTGGTTAGAATTCCAATGCCCCTAACCACTGAGTTAAGGGCTCGTTGTCCTGTCGATTGCGATCAGGTATATACAATGGTAGACGTGCGCTCACCGATCGTGTTACCAAACAGCGAAGGCAAAAAATAAGGCAACAAAAGTCTCGACGCACGCATAGAGCAACCTAACGGTATGAATAGAAACCCAATAGAAAACGCATCTACCCATATCAAGCAAGAAGGGGGTTGACCAATAATCATTAGGTGTTAAACGCGCTGTGCAATGTTGACATACATACTCGAACATCCTTTATGGGCCAGTTTTCGAGGATAGAGGTGATATTGCCTGCTTCGGTAATGGGGATGAAAAGTCCACTAAATGAAGAAAATCATATTTAAACAAAGTTTCAGTGGAGATTCCGCTCGAATTTTGAGAACAATATTGTGCTACGTGTCTCAGGTAGCTCAGCATTTTGAAACTAACCGGGACTGAATAAGCAGTATAGCAGGTCTCACAAGTTTAGGAAGCTGGACTAATACGTCGATAAATTGTACAAGGAAGATAGAATATCAACAGTAGAAAGTTAAACACAACATGTCCTTTAAGACACTCATTATACCCTGTATACCAGACTTGTAATGATACCGCGGCTGCTTTCCGTGTGCTGCAGATAGACCTTTTAACAAGTAAACTATTATTGCAATTTATTGATACATATGATACGGTGTTTCGATTGACGATGTCCCGAGAGCATTATTACGCAATAGCATTCACAAAAAGAGTCAACTAACCGTCCATTGCAGTGCACCAGATCATAATTCTCACAGGCGAGACCAATAGTAGGCGTGTAAACCAACGGCATAAGTTCTTGTACATTCCTACTAATTATGCGAAAGAAGGCAACTTTGTCCGTGTCGTAGATTCGCATGAGGTAGTCGAATTTGTCCAAGTTGTTTGGTAACGTTTGAAGACGTTTCATGCACAGTCGCTCCTGGTAGCAACCTTCTGAGGAAGAATCGCAATCCACGAGCGCCGGCATTAGTCCTGCCACTTTGAGGTCCTTACGTTCTTTGGCCGAAAAACTAAGGCCCTAAAAGCACAGAAGGCGGTCAGCTGAGAAGAAAATCGAAAAAAATAAGTGACGACTAGAGTAGAAAGTGTTGTGGAAGATAATACCCTGTTAAGCAGCGGGTCGCGCAGGAGATCCACTCCTGTGCGCTGATTTTTCTTGCTATGCGAAAAGTGCTGCGAGAGCATGCTCGATGTAACAAAAACTCACAGAATTAATCATCTGTATTTATAAGGCAGGCAAGCGTTTGCTATTGGCTGCCGCGGGCGTTTGTGTGGCTACGTAATGGACTACAGGTGAATCATGGCTCGCGAGCAATCGTTGGCATAATTGCCTCCTCTGCCGTGGGTCGCATCATGGTGCAACGGGGGTGCCTGCTAATGAAAACATACCAGATGATAGTTTATGAGAGCTAACTGAAGCTCGATTTTGTTGCCGTGTGTATACAGCACATCATACCTAGCGAGCACGTACAGACATTACATTTCCGAGGCAGTCGCCCGTCTCATATGACCGCTTGAGATCGACTTCGTCTAAAGACCGCGAAAAAAATCTAACTTTGCATCGCAATTCCCAAAGTCTCCCGGCTACCAAGCCATACGGTAATAAACTCTATCGGCTGCAATCCATTACTGCCTACAGTAATGTACTTTGCACAGATTGACAGATAACAGCAGAGCCAAATGGATGAAGAAGCCGAAATAGCAAGCGAGGCGGATCGACCTGCAGTCTATAGTGGTGAAGAACTGCGTTACTTCTGAACTCGCGTTCCGTTTCCGTGAAGTCAAAATCCTGGATGGCGGCTACGACCTCAATCGCAGAAATACACACGAGACCTGGTATACAGGAAGAACTTCGATCGAACGCTGACAGGCAGTCCCTCTGACCTAGCAGGTCCACTGAGTGCAACTCAATCAACTACTGGGGACGTAGATATAGCCTTGACGCGGGCACAACAACAGCAAAAGAGGACGCGAACGGAGAACGATCGTAATCTTTATTGGACGGAGTCGCGGCGATCGTTACTGGCGTAGGAACTATTGTCCTTACAGAGGTCGAGAGCTGATCCGGCTTCCAATCTTTAGTAATGATCTTCGGATTTCAAACCAGAACGATATAAACTCCAACACCAAGAAATCGGCCCCTGCGGTCTCCGCACGACAGGAGGCGTAAAAGTAGATATCACCAGAACAGCATCGTTTTCCCAACGAGGAGACGGCCAGAATCACCTCTCGTTGAGACCAAATGAGACCATCACCCTGTAAACATTGTGAGGCAGGATAGAAAATTCGCTCCCCACGATGTAGGCGTCGCCCTCCTCCACAGTTAACCCCAGACCAGAGCATCTTTGTTGCAGTCAGCGATATAATTGTGTGGTATGAGAGCCGGTCATTGATTAGCGTGCGTAAATTGTTCGTCCCTGAGCATATTTGACCTCAGTCTGCAGCCCTCTAGGAAATCGCATAGCGACTAGCAATAAAGCAGAAGAGAATACCGACAAAGATAAGGAAGACTGAGGTGGTCATTTCTGGCTTATTAGTCGGCCTCAGTCGACCATGTCCAACCCAAGGACAGGAGGACCTGTGATTCGGACCTGGACAACTAAGTCAATGAGCATCAAGTCAAGCGCTATGCTACTGAGCCACGGTCGCGTAGTTCTTTCAGTCCCAGTCGAGAACACTGACCATAGTAGGAGGACTGTCAAATGGGGGGCGTTTGGCTATACGGTCACCGATTAAAGAGTCCGGATTTGCATCCCAGATTACCACACTCTGAGGTTGGAAACGTCTGGCCGATGACTTCTAGGAATCCAGAACTGGTCGCTTCTGTCTCCCTTTGTCAGTACTCCCATTTTTACATCGTGATGTTAAGTTTGCGGCCGCTTATGTTGGCTATAAATTGAGCTCATAGGTGCAAGGGGATGAGGATTTTCTGTAACCTGATAGGTGGACGACCCTCCCACAATCGATACGTATGCATGAACACAGAAGTAGCACTTCTCAGACGCGATTGCAAGAAGGAATGCGCTTGTTACACTTTGCTTTAGGGTTCAACCCAGAGACCACGCTTGCGATCGTGGGGCTATGAATAGTCTGTGCAGAAGTAAGGGCAACTTACGTGGAGGGTACGTTTTCATACGTAAAACTTTTGCGATGTAACACCGCTTCTATGTACTCGTGACGTGATAGTGATTATACCTGAATGCCCATCATAATCAGCACACAGTTCCGTTTTAAAGAAGGAGAAAGACATCAGAAGGAGGCGTGTACTCTGCTTCGAAGCTTTGTAGTCAGGCCTCTCGAGACACGGACGGCTGTAGGTCTGCGTGCGATTATCGCCGAGTATAGCGTGGGCTCGAATGACTAAACGTCGTGAAACATCCAGCCAGTATCAGTTTGATGTATTGTCTGAGTGATTACGGAGGTACTTGGCGCTTGTGCTTGGCTGTCTTAATTCACTCATTAGCTTGTAGATTTGAAACTCTGAATGCAAGTTTAACGGCAGGTCAGATTCGAAATTATTCGGGAATTCGACAAATTTTTGAAGACCGAATTATGTCCCTTCTTCGACTATAAATTTGGAAGAAGACGTGATTTTTTACCGAATGAGTAAAAGAATGAATACTTTTATGCATGTTTTCCATGAAATATAACTGAATTTTTAAGGGCATCGAAAATCAGTGAGACATGGACATGGCCGATTGAGTCTGACTAATAAGCCAGAGATGGCCATGTGCAACCCCATAGCAGGATGACCTGAGATTCGTACCCGTAGTCAGTAAGCATCAAGTCCAGCGCTCTGCCACCGAGCCACGGGCGCGTAGTCCTTTCAGTCCCAGTTGTGAACACTGACCATAGTAGGAGGATTGTCAAATGGGGTGCGTTTGGTTATACGGTCACTGATCAAAGTGTCCGGATTTGCTTCGCAGGTTACCGCAATCTGAGGTTGGGCACTTCTGGCCGATGACTTCTAGGAATCCAGAACTGGTCGCCCCTGTCTTCCCCCGTCAGTACTCCAATTTTCACCTTATGATGGTGATCATGTGACCGCTTGTGTAGGCAATAAACTGAGCTAATAGGTGCAACGGGATAAGAATGTTCTGTAATCTGATAGGTGGACGACCCTCCCACGATATATACGCATGCATGCACACAGAGAAAGAACTTTTCTGATGCGACTGCATGGTGGCACGTGCTCGTTTTTTTCGTTTCGCAGCTCAACCCAGGTCCTGCGTCCTTAATTATGAAGTGATAAGTATTTGAAGCGATATTTCCTCGGTACGAATTCGGAACAGGAATACATAACAGAACCACAACATTTCGCGACAGCTTATCAACTGCAATCTGCTGCTGCATAACAGAGATATCGAATAAGAAAGATACAGAGGTTTGAATTTCCATAGAAACAATTAATGCAACAGAACAGGGTCGTCGTTTACTGCACAGAGACTTATCAATGACAGCGGTAAATTAAGAACACAATTTAGGAAAGAAAATGGGGAAGTTAACACACAGAGGGGGAGTGTAGAACGAAGGACTGAGATTTACCTTGACAAGCTGAGGTTGACCACGTGGTCCACCTGCTTGCATAGATCGGGCTTCTCCCGCCATATGTGGAATGCCTCCAAGTAGCGCAATATCCCAGTTGTTCGTGCCCAACTTAAAATTCGGAAGGGCGTTTTAGGATCAACGGAGTTAGCGCTATCTAGGCATTTTATTTTCCTGCTTTAAAAACCATTTAGGCAAGTGCTCAACTGGCCTGACGGTCATTTACCCTTGAGTTCGTTCAATGTACTTGCATCCGCAAATACAGGTGAATTCGTAAACGCAATTTGAGGTGGCGTGAATCGGCAATGCATCCTTTGTCCGTGGAATTGGAATGACTTTAGTGGGACTGATGAAAATGAGTTCGGCTATGTTGTTTGTATTTTCAATGATAAATCTCAATCGTCGTTTCATGGTATGTGAAATATTGCGTTGGGCTTTTTCAGAACTGATTGCCCCGTCCATTTGACCGTAAAGGTGTTTAACTTTTGAGTGAAACGTGCATGATATCCTCATTTAAGCAAGGTTGTTTTGAAGCAGGCGATTTCTGCATCTAGTGTCTCGATGTAGCAAATTTTTCTACAATTTGGAAAAGATTTACGCCAAGTGTGGCGCCACTTCCCTGTGTTTGGTTGGGGTAGTGCGTTCAGTTTAAACTTTCGATGATCAGATAGCCTGGATGTGAACAGCACTTCACTCAGACCGGGATCAGGGTGTTGCGGGCTGATAACGGTAGTATTTTTAGGTGTTGAGACAAATTAGTCGGAAATAATTGCTATAATCCTCCTTTTTCTTGCTAATAAATGATGCAGTATCACATGCACACGTATATTTTATTAACGAGTCAAAGAACTGCTTTTGTGCTCCCCACGCATGAGTGGTCACACGGGGCATCGAGCGAGCTTGTTCGACTGTAACTACAGCCCACGCTAACGTTTCTCGAAAGGAACACCCACGTGCATTTATGGATGCTGAATCATCTCAACAGCAGCTGCACCGACAGGAACTACGATGAAACGATCCGCCTAACTGTCGCAGCCTAGCCACTCAGGGTCGGTATGACCTTGACTTCTGTCACTCACCTGAAAAAACGACGCTATCAGCGAGCCACCATCCTTCTCACGCCACTCCGGCGCGCAGTCTACCAACGGATGAAATGATATCCCCACTACCCTTTCAATCTTAAAACCATGCCTGGCCAGAGTGCTCAATCACATGAAGAGCGCGCGAGTGAACGTGGGTTCCAGCGCCGATAGCAAGGGGTCAAATTAATAAAAGTTTTATTGTTAAGCGCGCAGAGGCTCTATCAGTGTCGAGTAAGTCTCCCCAGCAGCTGTTATGCATAAAAAACAGAAGGTCAGTTGCAGGGAGGACATACACTTCGCACAGAAGACTTAAGGAGACACGGCGGAGTACATGGCGTGGGGAAACGGCATATGTGGAGGGTAGCCAATCCGCACCTAGCACGCGTTTGTGACCTTGAAAGTTCGCTTCTTACGCGTGGTGCCTATGGTTGAGTACTCGCAGCATACAGTGCAACATCGGTGGTAGAACCGCTGCTATGAACGGCTCGGATGCGGGATACCAAGCCGTTATCACATCCAGTAAGGACATCTGTGATCAGGTCGGACTGTTGCATTTAT